GGGCCCCTCCTGGCTGGGGGAGATCCGTTGGCACATGGCTCATCCACATCGGCTCTGCTTCAGCTCCCCCAAGAAAGAAAGGCCTGGGAGAGTTCGAGGAGAGACTCAGATCCCAGTGGCCGCCCAAGCAGGCCAAGCCGGGAAGCGAGGTGGCAGAGCCTTGTGGGGGGGTGGGGTGGGGGGGGAGAGGGTCCCCAGGGGCCCCGCTGCTGTGGGAACGTGAGCAAAGGCCTGGGGCTGACGGCCAGCGTGCAGTACGAGAAGAGTCCTTCAGCCCCAGAGGGCCTGACACATGCCTGGGATTCCAGGGGCTTCGTCCGTGCCGTCAGCCCTGCCGTCAGCCCTGCCGTGGGCTCCGCTTGTGAAACCCAAGGCTCCTCTGGAAGAAGCAAATGAGGAAGTCCAGGGCCCCACAGTGTGGCCCATTTCACAGACGGTAAGTGGCGGGGGCTCAGCGCGGGACCCGCGGCCTCCTAGGATGGGCGTCGCTGCTGCCTTCTCGCTCTGCCTGGGCCTGCTTTCTTAACCTCTTTCCACAGGTGCTAATCCAGGAACACTCGTGGGGAGACCCTGGTGTGCTGGGCCCCGCGTCAGGGCTGCCCCGGAATCCGCCCTGGAACGGTGGGGGTGGGGATGGTTACCGTGTGGGTAATAGTAGGAGTCCCCCAAAGGCCCCTGTGTTGGGAGACTTGGTCCCCAAAGGCTTACATTGATGGCTAATGGATTAAAGGTGATGCTTGATCTAATTATCTGGTTAATCATCTAATAATCGTTACTTAGCCCCCTGGTCCTCTGGGGCTTGCCCCTGGAAAGTAGTTCTCTCTTGGTTCTTTAAACCCAGCTTGGCCTAGCTTCTCTCTCTCTCTCCCCTCCCTGGCTCGCCCCGTGATGGTTCTCTGCATGTGTCCATCACTGCCAGTCTCTGCCAGCAGTCAGGCCAATGGGGCTGCCTGGCCTTGGACTGTGACCTCTGACCTCTAAGATGAACCGAGCCCTCCCCTTCTAACTGGCTCCTCCTCAGGTGTTTTAGTCAAAGCAATGAAGACATGACCAACACAGTGATGGTGGTGATGGTGGTGGTGATGGTGTGGACAGTGGTAATGAAGATGGCATTGACCATGACCGTGATGTTGATGTTGATGATGGTGATGGTGATGCTAGCTAGCATTGATCAAGTACTTACTACATTCCTGGCTCTGCACTTTTCTTTTTTTTTTTTTTTTTTTTTTTTTTTGACAGGCAGAGTGGACAGTGAGAGAGAGAGAGACAGAGACAAAGGTCTTCCTTTTGCCGTTGGTTCACCCTCCAATGGCCGCCGCGGCCTGCTCGCTGTGGCCGGCACACTGCGCTGATCCGAAGGCAGGAGCCAGGTGCTTCTCCTGGTCTCCCATGGGGTGCAGGGCCCAAGCACCTGGGCCATCCTCCACTGTACTCCCTGGCCACAGCAGAGAGCTGGCCTGGAAGAGGGGCAACCGGGACAGAATCCGGCGCCCTGACCGGGACTAGAACCCGGTGTGCCAGTGCCGCAAGGCGGAGGATTAGCCTAGTGAGCCGCAGCGCCGGCCTACCTTTGACTTTCTTCATGTGTAAAACTTTCACAGTGAGAGGAAGTCTTCAAAAAGTTCACAGAAAATGTGTATTATATAAAACTATGCATGGATTTCAGACTTTTTTTGCAGCACCATAGACTTACCTTTAATTCTATTTCCTTTTTTTTTTTTAAGATTTATTTATTGATTTGAAAGTGTTACAGAGAGGTAGAGGTAGAGGTAGAGAGAGAGAGAGAGAGGTAGAGGTCTTCCATCTGCTGGTTCACTCCCCAAATGGCTGCAAAAGCTGGAGCTAGGCCAGGCTGAAGCCAGGAGCCAGGAGCTTCTTTCAGGTCTCCCATGAGAGTGCAGGGGCCCAAGCACTTGGGCATCTTCCGCTGCTTTCCCAACCGCATTATCAGGGAGCTGGACTGGAAGAGGAGCAGCCGGGACTGGAACGGGTGCCCTTACGGGATGCTAGTGCTGCAGGCAGAGGCTTAGCCTACTCACGCCACAGTGCCAACCCCTTAACTCCATTTTCTGATGCACTCTTTGAAGGGTTCTTTTATTTTAGGATTTGTGTGCAGGGCCAAGGAGCGGAACCACATACAGCACTGGCAATGGTGCGTGGGTGTGGCCAGCACAGAGACGTTAGCGGTAACCACCACCATGACCACAGTGAGCTCTTCACAGGGCCACACATGTGCTTTCTGTGCAATTCCTCCTTTAGTCATCACGTCTACCATCAGGGAGGTGGGAGAATCATTCCCATTTTACAGGCAAGTAAACTGAGGTGCAGGGAGGTTCAGTGCCAGCAGCTGAGCCCTCACTTCCTGAGGCTGCCTCCCTGTGTGCAGGGGTCTTCTCCGGGGAGGTGGCCTTTTGGGAGGGTGGCCGGGGTCATCTTGGAGGGTGGGAAAAGCAAGCAGGCAGCCATCAAGAGCCCTGGGTGGGTGGGTGAGGGGTACCCCACACCCAGCTTCTGCTTGGGGCTGGGGCTCATGTGCAGGGGGCCCCCACCTTGACCATGACTCTGGGTCCTCTGTCCTGACAATGGACATGGCCTGCACTTGGGCCTCAAGTCCAGCGAGCTAGAGGCCATCAGGAGGTGGCCCTCATTCACTTGGCTTTTTCAGAAAACTCACCAGAGACAAGGTGCCGTCCCCGAAGTCCGGAACTGCATTCTGATCTGGTCTCCAGAGGCCCCAGTCGGGGAGGAGCAATTAGGAAAGGTTACGCGGGAGACCCTGTCACAGCTGCGGCGTGGCGCTCCGAAGGAGGAGAGGCGGCCAGGGAACGCAGCTGGGGCTCTCCTGCCCCTGCCTGCCTGTGTGCCCTGGGGCAAGTCACCTCTCTGAGCCACTGTTTCTCCATTCACTCATCCCTCCATCCCTCCCTCCATCCATCCACCCACCCTGTCCATCCTTTCCTCCATCCATCCATTTGTCTATCCATCCATCCATCTACCCACCCCTGTCCATCCATCCCTCCATCCATCTATGCCTCCACTTGTCTATCTGCCCACCCACACACCTCATCAGTGGATGCCCGAGACGAGGCTCCAAGGCAGAGTGCAGGTCAAGAGAAGCCTCGGCCAGGGCGTTCCTAGCAGGAGGAATTCAGTGCACTGGGGCAGAGAGATCTGTGGAGGTGGAAGTGTGCAATGTATCCTAACGGCAATGGGGCTCCAAGGGCAGGTTCTAAGAGGAGGGACAGGGTCACAGTTGGCCTGGAAGGACCCCTTGGGCAGCCCTGTGGGGGCTGGTTCCCGTGAGGCTGGGGGCAGGGAGACCACTGAGGAGGCCAGTGGAGGGAGGACGGAGGCCCCAGCGAAGGCAGAAGTGGAAGCAGGGTTCAAGTGCACCCTTGGAGGTGGGCGGTGCCCCCTTTCTCCTGGGACGGAGGATCCCCTGAAAGGATTTTAGCGAATGGCTTTGCAAGGTGCACAGCTCTCCCCCATGGTTGGCACCCATGGATGCACCCAGGGACTTGAGGCTCGGCCGGGGTGTGTATGCTCTGTGCACTGACCAGTGCCCAGGCCCCAGGTCCAGAGCGTGGCATTTCTTGGAGCACTGGGATTTGATGGGGCTCCTGGATGACTGTGGTGCAGTCAGGGTGAGGCTGAGTGGGAGGGCCGTGGCGCTTGTCAGCACGGGGCCTGCCCTGGGTTGCTTCACTTTCTCCCCGTGAAGGTCCCAGGCACAGGTGCGCTCTGACCTCAGCTGGAATCCTGAGGCAGCAGGAGCAGCCCGGGCTCTGAGCGGCTCAGCCCGGGCCAGCAGGCTCGCATGAGGTGGCCTTGGCAACCAGCGTCCTTGATGGGAACAAGGACGTTCAGCTCAGTGGGCTGCTGAGTGCGTGCAGATGGGAGCGAGGTAGAGATGTGGAGACCCTGCTGGGAGGCCGCAAAACCCCTGGACTTGAACTCAATACAGGGCGCACGACGCCCTCGTGTGGCCAGAACTGGACTCGTCCGCCAAAGGCCGCGACTCTATAATAAACAGTGTTTGTAGCCTGAGGTTGGGGCTGTTCTGGTGGGCCTGTTTGGGCTGCTGCTGAGCCACTTCTGAAAGGCAGGATTCACTTTCAACTCCCAGAGGATGCTAACTGGAACAGAACTGTCTCATTAGAAAAAAAAAGACAAAAGTGTGTGTGGGTGGGGATCGCGGTGACGCCGCAGGGAGTGGGCAGCCGAGCCCGGAGGGCCGTGCAGTAAACAGAACAGGCCACAGCGCCCTCTCGCAGGGTTCCGCCCGGGTTCTAATTTGAGAGCTGTGCAGGCTTTGAAGTTCTGTGCCCTCCACCAGAGCGCCCAGGGCAGTTTTTAAACAAAGGCACGTTTAAAAGGCAGCCGCCTGCGCCTGCGCCCAGCGCCCAGCACCAGCACCGGAGAAAATGCTCACGCCTGTCTGGAAGTCGCAGATTCGAGGCTGCGGTAGTCCCGCCGCAGCGTCAGGCTTTTTCCGGAAAGCTCCGGGGTGTGTGCGTCGGTGCCGTGCGGACGGGCCGAGGGGCGGCCCTCGGGATTTGGTGGCTGATGCTGCAGCGGGGTGACTGGCTTCAGACCTCAGGTGTCCACTGCGCAGGGACAGACCCTAACCAACCACGCGCCTCCCCCCAGAGGGCAGGACACGGATGTGGCACAGGTCCCGCCCCAGGGCCTCGGCCGCCACCGGCCCAGGGCCTAGGAGCCTGCATTCCAGCTCACTTCCCATTGCTCTGAGTTTGGTGCGTGGCTTCGGGGCCTTGTCCGACGGTTCTCAGATCTCAGGATCTCATAAACAAGTGGAATCATCACACGAACTGCAACACTCCGACTTCTCAGTGCCTGTCTGGCCAAGACCAACGACCAGCTTCCTTCCCCCTTGTTCCACGAAGCGCGGGGCATGAAAAATCGCCTGGCCGTGACCTCTGTGGCCCCATGTGCTTGGAGAGGTGTGACGTCATCACACACGGGATCTGAGACAAGGCTGATGAGAAGCTTGGGGCCCTGTGACCTTTTATTTATTACAACACACACTCACATATACACAGCGACTATGTACAATCATTGGCTCCCTCAGACAGAGACTAAGGCATCCTACGGGTGCTCCCCGACAGCAGACTCGGCGACAGGAGATATTTATGAACTTCGCGGCCAGAACGCGAGACTCCATGACTGGTTTCAGTTCTGAGGCACACACACAATTCAAAACAGACATGAGCTTGTTAAGGCGAGAAAGGCGGGCTTAAAGAAACCACGGATTCAGAACAAGGACACTGTGTATTGAGCTGGAGTCAGAGCCGCCGGTGGACAGCAGGCATCGTGCGCGTCTCGGTCTTCTACATGGCAGCCCAGGGGAGCGCAGCGCAGGTGGGCGAGCCGCGGGCGGCCCTGCCAGGGCCTCGGCCTCACTTCTCCGCCTCGCCTTTCTTGGGCTCCTGTTTCAGCTTGTAGTCAGCCAGCGCGGCTTTGATGGCGTCCTCAGCCAGCACTAGGAGGAACGGACGGAAACAGCCTCAGTCTCGACACTAGAGAAACGGGCTCAGGAGTGGGACTGGGGGGAGGCCGGGGCACGGGCGGAGCGGCAGCTGCTTCCTGGGGGTGACTCCCGCAGGTGGCTCTGCACACAGCCTGGAACCCACCTCCTCCCCCGGGAGACGGGGACGCGCACGCTTTTCTGGCAATAGCGTGGGGACTCGGAGCGGGCGTCTCACACACAGCAGGGGCGCGACACGGGCTGGCTCCATCCAGGAGTGCTCGGAGCCAGCCGGCCTGACTCGGGTCGGCTTGACCTGGGGAGGGGCTGCCGCCGGCACCTCGCCCTCTGGGGGTTCCGCGTTTGGAAACTTCTGCTCAGGAGTCAGTGTTAAGCATAAGGCCGAGGGGAACATTGAGAAAGCCGGAACGACAGCCGAAAGCAAGCAAACAAGAGCGTCCGCTAAAGGTCCCCGCACCTGAGTGGCTAAAACAAGGGCGAAGCGGTCTCCAAGCCACGGCCTCCCCGCAGTACGCGAGAGCCCAGCTCAGGCGGAGGGAGCCGAGTCCCAGCGAGCTTCCTGAGGACGGCTGGTGCCCCAGGTCTCTTCCGAGTGTCACGCGGGCGAAAGGCTGGCGCTCCGCTGACTTTCAGCTCGTGAGCTCGGGACCTGCAGCGTGCTAGGGCACTGTTTCCCATCCCTCTTTCCCCGGAGAGTTAAGAGAGGCTGGGGAAAGTGTTTGATCTAACACGCAGACCCCAGACAGCAGGGGCGCGGGTCAGAGCACGCGGCTTTCCCCAGCACGGTGCACGGCGGGCACTGCTCAACCAGGCTCCGTCACTCCACAGACCCAGGCCCTGGCAGGAACAGCACCTGCCCGGAAGAGACCGGAGACTCAGGGAGCAGGACGCTGGCAAGAGCCCAGTGTTTTCCTCTGCTGGTCCTAACTGAGCTACGATATGAGCTGGCAGGGGACAGCAAAGATTCTGTAATCAAGGCCCGGGGCTGGCGTTGCGGCGTAGTGGGTAAAGCTGCTGCCTGTGACGCCAGCGCCCCATGTGGTTGCCAGTTTGAGTCCCGGCTGCTCTATTTCCGATCCAGCTCCCTGCTAATGGCCTGGGAAAAGTAGCAGGAGATGGCCCAAGTGTTTGGAGCCCTTCACCCATGTGGGAGACCCGGCTGTTGTAGCCATCACAGGAGTGAGCAGTGGACGGAAGATGTGTCTCTCCTTTTCTCTGTAACTCTGCCTTTCAAATCAATCTTGGGGGAAAAACCAAGATTCTGGAATCAAAGCCTGGGGCACAAACTCTGGCTCTGCCACCAACGAGCTGTGACGGGGTGACTTCAGGCGCGCGCAAGCTTCCTCGTCCATGACAGGGGAGTGATGGCTCCCGCTGTGGACCTGAGGGTGTCCTCAAGGTCTAGAAACGACATCCATGGAGGGCTCGGGACACTCCATGCCAGCACACAGCAGCTCCCAGCCGTGAGACCAGCGGGCGCAAAAGGACGCTCACTGCTCTCAGGCAGGCGGGCTGACGTCAGGGCCAAGCGCCCTGCTGGCCGACGCCGCAGGCAGAGACTTACTGGAGCAGTGCAGTTTCACCGGGGGGAGGCAGAGCTCCTTGGCGATGTCTGTGTTTTTGATGGTCAAGGCTTCCTCCACCTGACAGGCACAAGGGAGACGCACAGGTTTAGTGAGGCTGGGTGACGCGAGGGCCCACGAGTAAGAGGCGGGCCAGCGGCCTGAGCACAGGCCGGGCGGGGGACAGCACACACACAGATACACACACACACAGACACATAGACACACACACACATACACACAGACACAGACACAGACACACACACACACACTGTTTAGTTGTCGCTCCCCCTCTTCGTGGAGGAACGACACTAAGCCCTGCCTAGGCTTCATATCCGAGTCACGGCACCATTATGTCGCTCCCCGTCTTCGTGGAGGAACGACACAGGACCCTGCGCTGTTCTTTCGTCTGCTCGGCCCTCCCCGGGTTTGCTGCTGGTTCTTCCCGGGTTGGCTACCGACCCTTCCACCTCCGTGGAAGGGCAGTTCCCCCGGCCACATTCCCCACTTCCGCGGGGGAGCGGCACACCGCCGGCCGGCTCTCGGGGGGCTGCACAGGTGTTCCTTCAGATAGATGTTCCCCTTAGATGTTCCTGGTGCATGCCGTCTCTCTCCTCCTTTATAGTCCTCTTCCGCCAATCCTAACTCAGCTGCCCACACGCCGAGTACACTGCTCTCCTCCAATCAGGAGCAAGTCCTATAGTTTATTGGCTGAACTGGAGGCAGCTGTGTAGAAGCTGTTTCCTCCTCTCCCAGCGCCACATTGTGGGAGAGCAGATGCATAGAATAAGTCTTAATTCCAGTAACTTAGTCCAGTCCGAGTTGCTCCCCACATTTAGTAACTCAGTTCTCAGGACTCCTGCACTGGGGCTCTCAAGGACAAAGTACACACATCCGCCCTGCCTGGCCAGGGTTGGCCAGGGCGGCCAAGTCCCGGGATTCTGCCAGGAGCAGAATCCGTGAGGAGCCTCTTAGGGGCCTGTGTGAGACAGCAACAGGGGTCGGCCTTTTCTTTTGGTTTTCTTTGCTGGTTTTGCAGGCCCAGGGCCGGGAGCTCTCTGCAGACAACCCCTCTGCCTGCAGGACTGCCCCCTGCTCCCCCTGGGGCAGCCCCGGGCACCAAGTGAGGTGGGCAGGAGCTTGCCTGGGGGAACACAGCCCCAGTGCCTTGGGAACCCTGGTGGTCGGGGGTGGGGGGTGGAATCTCAAGTTAAAGAAAGGCCTGTGCCCGCTTTCGCTCATAGCTCGGAGCCTGCTAATGGCCAGGACCCTGAGCCCAGGGGCCCTGTCTCAGTGCTGAACCTGAGAGTCCCTGCTGACAAATCACATGGGGGCCACGTGAGGCCAGAGCAGGTCAGGTGAGTGCTCCCTTCGCCAACGGAGTTTGCCAGCCGAGGCCGGGCCAGAGGCTGCAGGTGGCACGTGGCCTGGCCAGCACTGCACGACTGCTCCTAAGACTTGGCTCCCTGGCCCGTGTCCCTGCGGGCTGGCTTCCGAGAGGTTGTCAGGGTGACGGGGGCCCTCCCCCCGCTGCGGCCGCTGGGGAAGGGGGCTTTGCAGAGAGGAGGGAGGAGGTGCGCCAGCCCTCCTCACCTCTCCCGGAAGCCTGCGGCAGCCACCGCACCACTGCTCCCGGGGCTGACCCTGCCCTCACCCCCTGTGTTTCCGAGTCCTTACTCCTGCCGCTATGGGGCTTAGGCGGTGGCACCAGCAGGAGGCCCTTCCTCCTTGGGTCCCTGGGGCCGTGCCCTGGAGGTGGTGCTCACAAGGGTTGGCAGCAAAAGCCCAGCTGGCCCAGCCACGCCCTCTGCTTCCTGGCTCAGTGTGAGGCGGCCTCCGAGCACCACTGCCCTGCTCCTGCCGCACCACATGGCTGGCTCCGTGGGGCTGCCCAGCCCTGGACCTGGACCTGCAGACTGGAGGCAAAATCAACCTCTCTTCTCTTCCTAAGTAGCTAGTCCTGGATTTTTTTTTGCCGCAGTGATGTTGACAGCCGATACAGCCCCCAAACACCCAGGGAAAAGTGATCAACAACAAAACATCCACACACCGCCCGACACAGTGTGGAGCAGGCTGGGGTCAACCTTTAGGGAGGGGGGACTGAAATAACACTGTGCGGGTAGCATTTGCGAATGACCTCGTGACGTGTTGTTCCTCTCGGCCACACCTGCCCCTCCGAGAGGCAGGCTGCAGGCGGTGCTGCCAGAGGGCCAAGGAGCCCCAGCCTTACCGTCTTCCCTTTCACCCACTCGGTGGCTAAGGAGCTGGAGGCGATCGCAGAGCCGCAGCCGAAGGTCTTAAACCGGGCGTCCACAATCTTCCCCTTCTCATCCACCTGGATCTGGAGGAAAGAGAGAGGAGGTGACTCCCGGGTCTCCCCCAGAGCTCCGGGCTCGCCGTCCACGCTGCGAGTGAAGGTGCTGGGTACCGGCTGCTTCCGAGACCAGGGATGACGCAGGGGCTGCCGGGGCCAGCGCCCAGGCCTCGCTGCCGCCCCGGCCTGCTCGGGGCTGGGAGGAAGTCGGCCCACCGCTGCTGGGCAGCTGCTGCTCCAGACAGCAGAGGGTTTCCAGTGCGAGTCTCCTGCGGGCACCCACTGCACTGAGGGGCCCCCTCCTGCCCTGTCTCTGTGTTCCTAGGCATGTGAGGTCTCTGGTGGGCTTCCCAGCCCATGAGGAGGGAGGTCCAGGGTACAGCTGCTGTAACCCAAGTGCCAGCGGCTGCCTGCAGGACGCTTCCGATTTGGGCACACGGTTTCCCTTGGATCAGCAAAATTCACAGACCCTTCCAGCTGGCTAACTTGGAGTCTAGGCTGACGCAGCGAGGTGGAACGTGAAGTCAGCTCCCTCCTCCAGAAAAGATCTGCACTGCAGGACAGCAGTAGGAAGGAGTCCCTGCTCAATCCGTTACGACAGGCCTCCTCCCAGAACCAAACGGAACGCGGCGAGAGCGGGGAGCTGCCCGGCCCGTCCGGACCCGTACCTGCAACTTCATGACATCCCCACAAGCGGGGGCCCCCACGAGGCCAGTGCCGACATTTTTGGACGTCTTGTCAAGGGACCCCACGTTTCTGGGGTTTTCATAGTGATCCACAACCTGAAATGAGAAAGTCGGGAAATCGCCACGTTCTCCCCATGACGTCAGCACCCCGCCCCGGGCAGGCGCCCACTGAACACGTCTCCCGTGGGGGAGAGAGAGAGCCTACATTCGCATCAACGAGGGCCCTCTGTGTCACAGGCTCCTCTTCCCCCCAATAAAATCCACTCTCCAAGGAGACGGATCACCATTCAAAACTGTAAAAAACACCACTCATAGCCCAGGGCCACAAGGCTTTCTCGGAAGCCTCCCCGGGGGGGCCGCTGCAGAACGCACAATGCTATCTACCAGAGGTGCTAAAATAATAATAAACAAAACAGCGCCGGGCAATGCCATCACCCGGAGCAGCCGCGCCCCCTAGCGCGAGCCCGCGTCCCTTCTGCACAAAATGTCAACAAAATGCCACCGGAGCCCCGAGCCCACGAAGCAGCCAGCCCCCGCCCCACATCCCACCCGAGGCCTCCCGAGAGAACCACGTCTACTCCAGACTCCGTTCTGAGTTACTGCGTGGTTTTTAGCTGCTTCCCTACAGAGGCAGGCGCACACGTCGGGGTCTTTACGCCCCCGGGGACGCGGCCAGCGGCTGTCAGCCACGGCTCGCTCTCCCTCCCTCGCCAAGAGGCAAAAGCGAACCCCGAGCAGGTGCAGCGACCCCGCCACCGCGACAGCGCGTGCCTAGGACCCCACGCTCACTCTCTCCTGCTGGGGAGCCGCGGGAACAGGGTCGGAGTGCGGCGGCGACTGGCCCAAGGTCACCTGGCCCGGGCAGTGGCCCGAGCCCGCGCCGGGCTGTGTGTGTCCTCGACTCCGAAGGCCAAGCGCACAGGATCCCCGCCCAGGGCCGTGGGCAACGGAGGGGAAGCAACCGGGAGCCGCCTGCTGAGCTGCGTTTATCCATCAGCCGTTCCCGTCACCGCGCAGCGAGGGGAAGTGGGCGGAGGAGCGGGCGCCGATGGCCCCTGCTGCCTCGGCCACTTCCACCTGCCGTGGACGGAAGTGTCGGCTGGGATCCGGGGACGCCTGGGTGCCCTCGGCCGCTCGCGCACCCCTAGGCTCGCCCCTACCTTCTTGTGATAGAGCCGGGCCGGAGCGGACAGCTCCCGGGCGGGCAGGCGCGGGCTCCGCAGCAGCAGGGCCGACGCCGCTCTCCGCAGACGGCCAGCTCCAGCCGCCGCCATCTCTCCGGCGAGCCCCTGAGCCGCCCCAGAGCGACGCCGAGGGGCGGGGCGCGCGCGCGCGTGCGAGTCGGGCTGACGTCAGCGCGCCTGCGCCCGCCCACTCCGTGCGCGCGTCCGCGCTGTGGCCTCGCCTTGGCCACGCCCCTCGGGGGCGGGGCGTGGGAAGCGCGGGAGGGCTTGCTGCGGGGCGTTGGGGTCTGGGTTGGGGTCTGGGGATTCCGCGGCGGCCGGGCTGAGAGGGTGCAAGGCCGCATTCTAGAGGCGGACCCGGTACAACTTTGCAGTGCGCCATTGAGGCTCAGAGTGGTCGCGCGGAGACCTAGGCTCAGTGGGGACAATTGGTGACCCCAGCTCCGGGATCCGCCCCTCCCCGGCTGTGCGCCCTGGGCGGCTGGTGCCAGTTCACCAAGCGTAATCCGTGGTAATTCTAGGACAATTGTTTTAGCCACGCGGCAAATACGTATTAAGTGCCGGCGCTAGACAGAGTGGAGGATTTGCACGGAAAGCAAACCCCACCGTTCTGGTCCCTTTACGCTTGGTAATGAGGGAGAAAGGCAGTGAATGAACACACACGCACACACACACAAACCAATATTTCCCTACCTCAAAAATGGGACGCTTCTTAAGGAGGAATCAAACACCAATCCCTTATTTTCCAAACAATGTCTAGATTGTATCTCTGTTGAGATCTCCTTACAGAACAACAGCAAACTCCTAATTTATAGGACAAGGCATGGCAATGAGGAGCCACTAAAGACATGTTTATTCATGGACTCTATTGATGCTGGCTTGCATAAGGCGATGTGATAAAATTGGAAAATTCAAACACTTAACGTCTACCAGGTACGAGGCATTGCATAGAACGGGAGGCTCTCTTAGGGAAGTGAGTTTGTCCCGTGAATGATGCAGTCGATCCTTCCCGGAGGATTTGTTTTCTCAGCGTTTGAGCCTCAGTTGCTGGGAGACCGAGCTCCGCTCCGAGTCCGGCTAGGCTTTAAGAAAACATTTATTTACAGGAATCCTTTGACCTTCTCAAGATGGCGCCAAGCCCGTCACTGCAGACACCACGCTCACTCCACGACTTCCTCTATGGCCGCCACTTCCTGTCCAAAGACCCAACTTCTGTCCGGAGTTGTGCCGGAAGACCTGTCATGTTAAGGAGCCTTTTCTTCGCCGGAGGTTTCTGAAAGTATATTAAAATAATACGAACTGCGTACTTTTGTCTGTTTTCTTGTCCTCTGAAGCTCCCAGTTTCCCTTTCGGTGGCAAGAAAGCGGGGGTTTTGGTCAGGCGCGCGCCGCGGGCAGCCTCGCCCTCAGCCGGGTCTTTGGCGGCCGAGGGAAGACCCGGGAGTCCCTGAAGCGCAAGATGGCGACGGCGGCTGCATCCTCGGCTTCGGAACCCGAGGCCGAGCCCCAGGCCGGGCCCCAGGCCGAGGGAGAGGAGGATGAGGTCAAGGCGGCCAGGACGAGGAGGAAGGTGTTGTCGCGGGCTGTGGCCGCTGCGACGTCCAAGACCATGGGGCCAGGGTGGGACCAGCCGCAAGAGGAAGGCATGAGCGAGAGCGATGGGGATGAGGAGTACGCCATGGCCTCCTCGGCGGAGAGCTCCCCCGGGGAGTACGAATGGGAGTACGACGAAGAGGACGAGAAGAACCAGCTGGAGATCGAGCGGCTGGAGGAGCAGGTGGGCCCTCGCTCCGGGGCCCCGGCCCGCCCCGCGGTCGCGAAAGCCGGCAGGCCGCCGGGCATCCCCGCAGCTGCGGTCCTGGATCGCCGCCTGCGGCCCTGGTGCTTCGCAGGCGTTGCCCGGTGGAGGCTCGGTGACGGGAGCGGTGCTAGCGCTGCTTCACGCCGGAGGCCGAGGACGGGTCGGGCCGCCGGTACTTTGAGCCGCTCGGAACCGCCCGGGTAAAGTTGGGTCTTGTTAGGATGGAGTCCTTTTCCTGTGGGCATGGTAACGGGGGTCCAGCGCAGCGGGGGAGGGAAGATAGCGGTTGAGACGGTGGTCGCGGGCGCGGAAAGGGGGACAGAGGTTTGCCCCGCTTTTGGTAGCTTGGGCGGAGTGCTTAACGCCCCTGGCCCGGGCTGCCCCGGCTGCCGGTTGGAAAACGTTGTGTCCAGCCCCGAGGGGGTGTAGGGAGTGACCGGTCCCGTCGATGGTTGTGTGCAAAGAGCTCCCGAGATGTGCTGAGAGCTTCGGTCGTTGGTGCACGCCCAGTGTCACAGCAGAGGTTGGGATGGGGGAAGCGGTACGCTAACCTTTCCCCTCCCTCCGAGCTTCTGCTGGGGCGTCCTGCTGGGCAAACCCAACTGGGCGCCCGGTGCTGGGGGGCCCGGGGCAGGGTGGGGAGCGTGGGGCGCCAGCGAGGCGGGAAGAAGCCGAGGCTTTGCTCCAAGTCGCTCAGAGTGGGGTTTGGACCCTGGCCGGCTCGGGGGTGTGAGGCTGCTCACCCAGGTTCTCACTCAGCCCCGCCCGGGGTCACTTGGTTGGGATGCCTCCCTAGCACTGATGCTTTTTTTAAGCCCTGGATAGCAGTGCGATCCGTGCCCGGGAGCTGTTCCCAGAGGAACCAGTGGCTCCATTTCTGGTCAGTAGAAACGGCCACTGGTTTTGGTATGCGGAAGCGCAGGTGTCTGATGCAGCGAATACAGGGCGACCCGGGCGCCGCGCGGGCTGTGTTCCCGCCCTCCGACTGCTGGCCCTGGTGCTTGACTGCACTCCTCCACGAGCTGGGGCGGCGGGGCCCCCTGTTTTAGCAGGAGGGGCGTCTTGACACCAGGGCGAGGCTGCTCAGCTCCCTGGGGGCGGAGGAGGGGTCAGAGGCCGCGCCTCCTGTTGCTGGTGCCCAGGGGTTGCCCGTCCGGCCTCAGGCCACCCAGGGTGGGTGTGGAAGGCCCACAAGCTGGGGCCTGGCAGGTGGTCTGAGCTGACGACGCCTCCGGCTTCGGAAATGAACTTTGCCAGTTTTTCCAACCCTCTCCCCTTCCTCATTCTGACCCCCCGGCCCCTCGTTTTCCTAACTGCCTTGCTGTTGGGGCCGTAATTACCGGTAGTGTGAGATAGACCCCTTAGTACTTGGTGGCTCTGCTTGTGAGTTCTGGCTGTCCTCCCTGAGTGTATTTTATGAAAGCTGTTATTTTTTTAAAAGGTTTATTTATTTTTTTTAAAGACAGAATTACGGAGAGGCAGGGGTGGGGTGGGGGGAGGTCTTCCGTCCATTGGTTCACTCCCTAAATGGCTGCAATGGCCAGAGCTGGGCTGATCCGAAGCCAGGAGCCAGGAGCCTCTTCCGGGTCTCCCATGTGGGTCCAGAGGCCCAACCACTTGGGTCATCCTCACTGCTTTCTCAGGCAATCAGTAGGGAGCTGGATCAAAAGTGGAGCAGCCGGGTCTAGAACTACACCCACATGAGATGCTGGCACTGCAGACGGCAGCTTTACCCACTACGCCACAGCATCAGCCCTGAAAACTGCTATTTACTGTGGTACCTGCTGTGATCAGAAGCAGAGATCTAGAAGTGGGGTCTCAGATGCCCTGCCTGAGCCGATTTCTCCGAAGGGCACCGGGATGGTGGCTTTGCAGCCACGTGTGACCCAAGCTCGCACCCGGTAGTGAGGACCTGGTACGAGTGGTTTCAGCTCTCTGAGCCCGGGACGTTGCGGTTGGTCGACTGAAGGCAGGGGTAGGGCCTCCCTCACAGGACGGCCGTGGCTTGAAGTGACGCAGTGTGCATGCAGCTCCTGGCCCAGTGCGGCACACAGTAGGTGCTGTGGAAAAGCCCACCCCGTTCTCCTCCCTTCCTCCCCGGGCTTCTGTGCGGTTTGTAGGCACAGGTGGGCGTGGCACCTTTTCCCCACTTAGCAGATCATTTTGTGCCTGGGCTGCCTCCTCTGTGTCTCTGATGGAGCCCCGGGACTGGCGCGGGCCAGCCTGATGGTGCGCATTTGCCGGTGCTGACGGCACTACGCGGCACTGTCTGCTCTAGGTGTGTCTCAGGAGGCATGTGACATGCGGACTTCCCAACACACTTCCTTACCGAGTGTCTTTTGTGTTTTGGCCAGAAAATCGGACCACCTTAGAGGCAGGTCCCGCTGAGGCGACCTTTGTGCCCGGTCCTCCTGCTGACCTACAGGCGGTATTGCTGTTCCGGCCGGCGCCGCAGGGCTGTCCCCCCCGCTCGCTGCTCGAAGCCGGCCGGCTGGCAGAGAGCCTCACGTGCTCTGGGCTGGAGGACTGTCTTTCCTGAGCTTCTGGAACTACTGCTGTTGTATGCAACATACTGTACAGTTGTCTTTTTTTTTTTTTTTTTTTTAAGAGGCAGAGAAAGAATCCACTAGATATCCACAAAAGGGGGTTTGGGAATGTGGTCCAGGTCTCTGATGTGGCTGCAGGAATCCAGCCACCTGGGCCATCCCACTGCCCCTCCCCCCTCCCCCCAGGTCTGTAGTGGCGGGATACTGAAGGCAGCACCCGAAGCGCGATGTCAGACCAGGCACCGACCCGCTGGGGTCAACGCCCCCCCTCACAGTTGATTTTGAAACTCGGGGTGGAAATAAAGCTACACGAGAACCCGAGCAGACTGGCAGCCGGCAGAACTGGGAACGCTGTGTCCTTACCTAGTCCAGTGAGAGGTTGTCCATCTGCTGGTTCACTCCCCAAATGGCCACAGTGGCCAGGGCTGGGCCAGGCTGAAGCCAGGAGCCTGGAACTGCATCCGAGTCTCCTGTGTGGGTGACAGGACTGAAGCACTCAAGGCGTCTGCCGATGCTTTCCCAGGCACATCTGAAGGGAGCTGACTCGGGGTGGAGCGTCTGGCACTCTAACCAGTGGTCACGTGGAATGCGGGGTGGCAGGCGGAGGGTTAACCCACCACACCACAGTGCTGGTCTCAGTTGAGCATCATTTGTTGAAAAGGCTTTTTTTTTTTTCTCCATTGAATTCCTTTTGCACCTCTGTCAAAAATTACTAGGGCCTGTTTGTGGGGGTCCGTTCCGGGGTTCTGTTCCCACCCTTTGATCTGTTTGCCAGTTTCACACAGCACTGATCATTGCCAATGTAGACTCAGGTAGAGTCGTCATCTCCCACTTTTTCTTCTTTTTCAAGATGATGCTTAGCTCTTTTAGGGCCTGTGCCAGTCCATGTAAATTTTAGAATAAGCTTATCTGTGTCTACAGAAAGCCCTACTGGGATTTTGGTCAGAGTTTCATTAAACCTCTAAGTCGGTTTGGGCAGAGTGTCTTTCTTGTCTGTGTTGAATCTTTGAATCTGTGACCGTGGGACGCTGCTGCGTTTTTTCAGGTCTGTGGTTTCTTTCCTCAGCTTTCTGTGACTTTTCAGCGTGCTGGTTCCATGCATGTTTCAAGTTTATACCTCGGCTGGCACCGTGGCTCACTAGGCTAATCCTCCGCCTTGCGGCGCCAGCACACCGGGTTCTAGTCCCGGTCAGGGCGCCGGATTCTGTCCCGGTTGCCCCTCTTCCAGGCCAGCTCTCTGCTGTGGCCCGGGAGTGCAGTGGAGGATGGCCCAGGTGCTTGGGCCCTGCACCCCATGGGAGACCAGGAAAAGCACCTGGCTCCTGGCTCCTGCCATCGGATCAGCACGGTGCGCCGGCCACGGCGGCCATTGGAGGGTGAACCAACAGCAAAGGAAGACCTTTCTCTCTGTCTCTCTCACTGTCCACTCTGCCTGTCAAAAAAAAAAAAAAAAGATTTATTTATTTGAAAAACAGTTACAGAGAGAGGTAGAGACAGAGGTGAAGGTCTTCCATCCTCTGGTTCACTCCCCAGATGGCCGCAACGGCTGGAGCTGAGAGCCGATCTGAAGCCAGGAGCCAGGAGCTTGTTCTGGGTCTCCCGTGGGGGTGCAGGGGCCCAGGCTGTCCTCTGGGGATGCTGGTGTTGCAGGTGGTGACTTTACTTGCTGTGCCACAGTGTTGGCCTTGTTAATTCTTTTTTTTTTTTTTTAAGATTTATTTATTTATTTATTTGAAAGGCGGAGTCACAGGCAGAGGCAGAGAGAGAGAGCGTGAGAAGTCTTCCATCCCTGGTTCAACTCCCCAAATTGCCGCAACAGCCAGAGCTGAGCTGATCCGAAGCCAGGAGCCAGGAGCTTCCTTCAAGCCTCCCACGCCAGTGCAGGGGCTCAAGGACTTGGGCCACCTTCTGCTGCTATCCCAGGCCATAGCAGAGAGCTGGATTGGAAGTAGAGCAGCTGGGACTCGAACTGGTGCCCATATGGGATGTTGGTGTCCCAGGCCAGGGCATCAACCCGCTGTGCCACAGCGCCAGCCCCCCAATAATTGGTTTTTAACTTGACTCCATTGTGGTCAGAAAGTGTATCCTGTCTGATTTCATTCCTTTTGGATTTGTTGAGGTTGGTTTTATGGGCTCAGCGAATATTCCCTGGACACTTGAGAAATACAAGGTTTATGCTGTTGTTGGTAGAGTGCTGCAGGTGTATAGATTAGGTCATGCCGTGGATGTGCGGCCGAGTTCTTCTGTGCCCTTGCTGGCTTTCTGTCTGGTGGTTCTGTCAGCTGCTGAAAAGGGGGTGCTAGACACTGCTGCAGCCTTCATTGTGGGGGGGCCGTCTTTGAGCCGCGTCAGTTTTTCTTCATGTGTTTGGGAGCCCTGTTTGGAGCATGCACATTTAGGATTGTTGTATCTTCCTGATCCTTTTGTCATTGCATAATGTCCCTTTTTGTCTCTGATATTCTTTGTTCTGAAGTCTGTCGGATGTGATTTTTTTTTTGACAGGCAGAGTGGACAGTGAGAGAGAGAGAGACAGAGAGAAAGGTCTTCCTTTGCTGTTGGTTCACCCTCCAATGGCTGCTGCGGCTGGCGCACTGTGCTGATCCGAAGCCAGGAGCCAGTCTCCCATGTGGGTGCAGGGCCCAAGGATTTGGGCCATCCTCCACTGCCTTCTTGGGCCACAGCAGAGAGCTGGCCTGGAAGAGGGGCAACTGGGACAGAATCTGGTGCCCTGACCGGGACTAGAACCTGGTGTGCCAGCGTCGCAGGCGGAGGATTAGCCTAGTGAGCCGCAGCGCCGGCCGGATGTGATATTAATGCAGCCACTTCAACTTCTTTTTAGTTAATGTTTGCGTGGCATATCTTTTTCTGTTTTACTGTCAGTCTGTGTTTTCAAATTTGAAGCAAGTTTCTTGTAGTAAGCATAGAGTTGTATTTTTTTTAAAAGATTTATTTATTTGAAAGGCAGAGAGAGGGAGAGACAAAGAGATGGTGGGGGTGGGGTGGGGAGAGATCTTCCGCTTGCTGTTCGCTCCCCAATGGCTGCAACAGCCAGGGCTGGGCCAGGCAAAACCAGTGAGGAACTCCATCTGGGTCTCCCCCTGGGTGACAGGGACCAGGTACTTGAGCCGTTATGCGGGTCTCCCCGTGGGTGACAGGGACCAGGTACTTGAGCTGTTATGCGGGTCTCCCCGTGGGTGACAGGGACCAGGTACTTGGGCCGTTATGCGGGTCTCCCCGGGGGTGACAGGGACCAGGTACTTGGGCCGTTATGCGGGTCTCCCTCGTGGGTGACAGGAACCAGGTACTTGAGCCGTTATGCGGGTCTCCCCGTGGGTGACAGGGACCAGGTACTTGGGCCGTTATGCGGGTCTCCCCGTGGGTGACAGGGACCAGGTACTTGGGCCGTTATGCGGGTCTCCCCGGGGGCTGCATTAGCAGGAAACAGGAATGGAAGTAGGGTAGCAGCGTCTCTACCCCAGGAGCTCCAGACAGGGGATGCAGGCGTCCCAGGAGGCATCCTAGCTGCTGCCCCACAGTGCCTGCCCCGTCTTCGTCTTTGAGCGGGAATGTTGCATCGTGGGCGTGGCCATGTCAGTGGCTGTCCCGTGTAGCACGGCAGGTGGGAGTGCTGGCACCAGTGGTGACACAAAGCTGTCACTTTGAGGACAGCATTTTAAGTTTCAACCTCCGTTACTTTTGCTTCTAGCTCTCCATCAACGTCTATGACTATAACTGCCACGTGGATCTGATCAGGCTGCTGCGGCTGGAGGGGGAGCTGAGCAGAGTGCGGGCGGCTCGCCAGAAGATGAGCGAGATCTTCCCCCTGACTGAAGGTACCGCCTCGCGTATCTCGGACCCGAGACTGGAGCACTGTGCTGAGGGGGTGCTCCTGCTAGAAGTCTGCCGCACAGAGCACCTTGGAGAGAAGAGAACTCAGCGTTTCAAGTCAGCTGTTTTCACTTAATTATCTTAGTGTTTTGCAAGATATAGTTGGGATCATATAATATACATGCACATTTTGAATCCTGATTTCTTTGTGCTCATTATAACAAATTATTTTTTAAAGATTTATTTAATCATCATTTGAAAGGCAGAGAGAGAGAGAGAGAGAGAGAGGTCTTCGATTCACTGGTTCACTTCTCAGATGGCCGCAGTGGCTGGAGCTGGGTGATCAGGAGCTTCTTCCAGGTCTCCCACGCGGGTGCAGGGGCCCAAGGACTTGGGCCATCTTCTACTGCTTTTCCAGGCCATAGCAGAGAGCTGGATCGGAAGTAGAGCAGCTGAGACTTGAACAGGCGCCCATATGGGATACCGGCACTGCAGGCAGTGGCTTTACTTGCTACACCACAGCACCTGCCCTGACAGAATTTTTTTAATGGAACTAAACTTTTACTCTCATTCTCTTTTTTTTCCCCATTCCAGTGTTTCTATATTTAACCTATTCTCTTGGAGCCAGAAATTGTGAATATATTATAATTAAACTTTTAGAGAGTTCTTTAGAAGTTTATTTCCATTTTGTTTTGAAAGGTGGGGAGAAATAGAGATCTACCATTTCCTGATTCACTCCCCAGATACCTGCAGTGGTTGGGTAGGATCACACCAAAGCCAGGAGCCAGGAACTCTTCTCCGTGTGGGTGGCAGGGGCCCAAGGACCTGAGCCATCATCGTTGCTCCCAGGGTGCACGTCGCAGGAGCTGCAAACAGGTGCAGTGGGGACTCGAACGCTGCACTCTGATTTGGGATACAGGCATCCTGAGCAGTCTTACTGCTGAACCAAATGCTTGCCTGGAATAATAGCTTTGCCTTTTTTTTTTTTTTTTAAGATTTATTTATTTATTTGAAAGTCAGAGTTACACAGAGAGAGAAGGGGAGGCAGAGAGAGAGAGAAGTCTTCACCTGTTTCACTCCCCAGTTGGCAGCAACAGCCGGAGCTGCGCCGATCCGAAGCCAGGAGCTTTTTCTGGGTCTCCCACATGGGTGCAAGGGCCCAATGACTTGGGCCACCTTCCACTGCTTTCCCAGGCCATAGCAGAGAGCTGGATGGGAAGTGGAGCAGCCGGGACTAGAACTGGTGCCCATGTGGGATGCCAGCACTGCAGGTGGCGGCTTTATTTGCTATGCTGCAGCAGTGGCCCTGAACAGTTTAAAGATATATTTATTTTGAGGGGCTGGCGCCATGGTGCACTACGTTAATCCTCCGCCTGGGGTGCCGGCCTCCCATATGGGTGCCGGTTCTAGTCCCAGTCGCTCCTCTTCCAGTCCAGCTCTCTGCTGTGGCCTGGGAAGGCAGTGGAGGATGGCCCAAGTGCTTGGGCCCCTGTATCCGCACCAGAGACCAGGAAGAAGCTCCTGGCTCTTGGCTTCGGATTGGCTCAGCTCCAGCCGTTGTGGCCATTTTGGGAAGTGAACCAACAGAAGGAAGACCTTTCTCTCTGTCTCTCTCATTGTCTGTAACTCTACCTGTCAAATAAATAAATAAAATCTTTAAAAAAAAAGATATATTTTGAAAGAGTTACAGAGAGAGAGGAAGAGACAGACTTTCCATCTGATGGTTCACTTCCTAAATGGTGGGGTGTCTCATGTAGGTACAGGGGCCCAAGCACTTGGGCCATCTTCTGGTGTTTTCCCAGGCTCATTAGCAGGGAGTTAGATCAGAAGTGGAGCAGCTGGGACTTGAACTGGTGCCCATATTGGATGCTCGTGTTGCAGGTGGTGGCTTTACCTGCTATGTCACAATGCTGGCCCCTTGGTTTAGGAGTTGAGACTTGAGTTTGTATGAGCTGGGCCAGGCTGTGTGAGATGGCTGTAGCTGCTGGGTGCCGAGGTCTCCTGGTCAGGCCTGCTCCGGCGTGCGCTGTGGGGAGGGGCGGTAAGTCAGGAGGCGTGTTTTCTCCTAGAGCTCTGGCTGGAGTGGCTGCACGACGAGATCAGCATGGCCCTGGATGGCCTGGACCGCGAGCACGTGTACGACCTCTTCGAGAAAGCCGTGAAGGATTACATTTGTGAGTCCCCTGGGCTTTGTTTACGGCTGAGGGTGGGCGTGGGGGGTGTCTGGTGGTGACACCTAGATCCATCTGCTGTGTGGACTGTGCAAATTCTGTGAGATGTTGCGACCCGGAAGAGAGAGCTGTCGTCTAGCAGCTGGGAGATGGAGGTATGTTTGTCATTGTCTTTGGTCTTCAGGTACTTGGTTTTAAAATAAAAGTGGGAGGAGCATCCGCAGTGAGGGAGTGAATATGCAGAGGATCAAATTGTAAGGTGAGAGCAGCAGCAGTTGAGATGCATGAAAGCCCCCTAACCCCTGCGTCCTGTGCAGAGGACGCCCCAGAGCGTGGGGGGTTTCCTTCATGGTCAGGCGGGAGCCGTGGCTGCCGCCGCCCAGCATGGCTTGAGAGGATCGTGGTGCATATTCCCAGCCCCAGAGCAGATCAGCGGTCAGAGTCTGGTTTCTACTGAGTGCTTTCATGTCACCGTAAGGTTGAAAATCACAAGGCACACCATCCTTGGTTGGGGACTGGCTGTGCTCAATTTACTTCAGTAAGTAAATAAATCTTAAAGACAAAACAAAAAAAGGAATAAAGAGAAGCTACAGATTGGGGGGAAATATCTATAAAAGACATGTCTGGTAGGGGAGTGTTACAGACTCCTAATAAGAAAGCAGCCTGATTAAAATGCACCAAAGACCTGAACGCACTCTGCAAGGAAGATCTGTGGATGACAGGTAAGCGCTGAAGGGATGCTCCGTGTTGTGTGATCAGGGACGTTCAGAGAGAACTGAGATGACCACTGCACGTGCTGGGTGGCCAGGATCCAGAATGCCGACGGCGACTAGGCAGGTGAGACTGCAACAACAGGGGTTCTCGCTTCTCTAGAAAAGATTTATTTCTTTGAAAGAGTGACAGAGAGAGAGAGAGAAGTCTTCCCATGTGCTGCACGGCTAAGCTGAGGCTAGAAGCCAGGAACTCCTGGTCTCCCGTGGGTGGCAGGGACCCAGGCTCTTGAGCCGTCATCTGCTGCCTTCTCACGTGCATTAGCAGCAAGCTGGATTGGAAGTGGAGCAGCTGGGACTCAAACCTGTACTTCCATATAGGGTGCTAGTGTTGCAAGCATTGCCCTAACCCACTGTACCACAACGCCAGCCCAAGACATTCTCATTTATTACTGGTGGGAATGCAAAATGGTGTAGCCAGTTGGGAAGACAGATGGGCAGCTTTTTATAAAACTAAAAGTATTCCTCAACCGTTCAGTAATTGCATTCCTTGGTTTATACCCAGGAAGAGTTAGAAATGTACATCTACCCAGAAACTGTCACATGAATGTTCACAGCAGCTTTATTCAGAATTGCCAAAACTTGGGAGTGACCAAGATGACCTCCAGGAGGTGGATAGATAGATAAACTGGGACCTCCATACAATGGAGGATTATTTAGTTCTGAAGAGAAATGAGTTACCAAACTGTTAAAAAGACATGGAAGAAGGGCTGGCACTGTGGTGTAGGTTAAGCCTCTGCCTGCAGTACTGGCATCCCATGTGGGTGCTGGTTCAAGTCCCGGCTACTCCACTTCCGATCCAGCTCCCTGCTAATGCACCTGGTAAAGCAGTGGAAGATGGCCCTAGCGCTTGGGCCCCTGCACCCACGTGGGAGACCTGGACCAGGCTCTTGGCTCCTGGCTTTGGCCTGGCCCAGCCCCGGCTGTTGCAGCCATTTGGGGAATGAATCAACGGATGGAAGATCTCTCTCTCTCCTTCTTTGTATCTATGCCTTTCAAATAAAGAAATAAATCTTTAAAAAAATGGATGAAACATAGCTGCATGTTGCTCAGCAGCCGGTCTGAGGGACTACACACACGACTTCAGCTGTGTGACAGTCTGGGAAAGGCAGAGCTGGAGACAGTGGGAAGATGAGGGCTGTTGAAGGCTGGGGATTGAGGGGTGAACAGGCAGCGCCCAGAGGACTTTTAGGGCAGTGGACTGACTCAGTGTGGTGCTGTAACGTGGGTACATGTCACTCTCTGTCCAAACCCATAGAGTATACCACACCAAGAGGAACTCAAAAGTAACTAGACTGAGTGATGGTGTGTCAGCCAGGGTTTGTTGATTGTAACACACGTACTGCTTCCGTGGGGGATGGGGATGGTGATGGTGGGGGAGGTGGTTCGTGTGTGGGGATGGCAGGCATAAGGGAAGTCTCTGTACCTTCCACTCAACTTCACTGTGCCTTTAAAACCATTCTAAAGAATAAAGGCTTTAATAGGACTTCATAGTGTTTCTCCCCGTGTCCATGGTGTCGTGGGCGAACGTGGTGTGATCTGTTAGGAGGCTGACCTCCGTAGAGGAGGAGCTTTGCCGTTGACCGGGAACCTCCCTTCAGCAGCCAGCTCATCCCGTTTTTATTTTATAGCCGTGTGGCATCTCTGTGTGGGTGAGTGAGAGCAGAGAGCACACAGGTTGGCTGGTTTTGAACGAGGTTCCCAGTGGAAAAGCAAGCCTCAGGAAAGCGTGTACTGCTTTCACATTGGCCTTCACTCCTTGGTGTTTCTTTTTTAAAGCTTAGAATATAGGTCTCTGTAGTTATTTTCAAATTCTTGAAAAGTGACTTAATAGGCAAAATAGGTACAGAAGAATCGATGCAATCAGAGAATTGAATTTGTTAGTCTTAAAGGCACAGAAGTATGTAAAAAAGTTAAACTGAAAGAAATAAGGCAGTGAAATTACTTCCTTTTTGTTGAAACATCATTAAAAAGAGACTTAAACTGCAAATTTCTGGTAGCAAGATGGGTACTTGTAGCTTTGATTACAGCAGAATAACTTTATAAAGAGAAAATGTTTGCTGTGTAGCTCACAGTTCTGGGGGTTCATGTCCAAGATTAGGCAGCCCATTGGTTTGGTCTCTGAGGGCAGCGGAGGGCAGTGGCAGAGCAGGTAGTGAGGCAGGAGCCAGAGACACAGCAGGGAGAGAGAGGGCCTGGGCCCAGACTCAGGCTTTTTTTTTTTTTTTTTTTTTTGACAGGCAGAGTAGACAGAGACAGAGAGAAAGGTCTTCCTTTTTCCGTTGGTTCAGCCCCCAACAGCCACTGTGGCCGGCGCACTGTGCTGATCCGAAGCCAGGAGCCAGATGCTTCTCCTGGTCTCCCATGGGGTGCAGGGCCCAAGCACTTGGGCCATCCTCCACTGCACTCCCTGGCCACAGCAGAGAGCTGGACTGGAAGAGGGGCAACTGGGACAGAATCCAGCGCCCCGACCGGGACTAGAACCCAGGGTGCCGGCGCCGCAGGCGAAGGATTAGCCTAGTGAGCCGCGGCGCCGGCATGGACTCAGGCTTTTGTAAAAACCGTCTTGGGAGGCATGCCTCCAGCTGCCTGAGGACCTCCCTCTGGCCCCCTTCCCAAAGGTCTGTCTGGACTTTCCACCAGCACCTGGCGGGGTGGGGGTGCCCTTGACACGATCCTTCAGGGGACGCCCACGCCAGATCCCAGCAGTGCTTGTCCTTCACTCTGATTAGAAAGCTTACACGGCAGTCAGGGATTCAAAGTAGAAAAAGCCAAGGTCTGGGAAGTTCTGCAGGGTGGCTCAGATTCATAGGTCTCTTCACTGCAGTCCATTATGGGTCCCTTCAGTTTTAATAGAGTTGTGATTGTTACAGTACAGACTTGCTCGGCAATCAGTGGTGATGCTGTGTGTACACTCACTCAGAACACACTTGTGAGATACGTTGCAGGCTGCAGTGTCAGGATAAGGACACGGGGTGCTTGCTGATGTGTGAATGCGTACAGTTTTGGTGGGCATCAGTTTGAGTATTTGGGTATTTTACAACCCAAACTAATAGAAGACTTCTCATTTTTAGGTCCTAACATTTGGCTGGAGTACGGCCAGTACTCAGTTGGTGGCATCGGTCAGAAAGGTGGCCTTGAGAAAGTCCGCTCTGTGTTTGAAAGGGCGCTCTCGTCGGTCGGTTTACACGTGACCAAAGGCCTCGCGGTGTGGGAAGCCTACCGAGAGTTTGAGAGTGCGATCATGGAAGCTGCTCGGGTGAGTGAGCCGGGCCTGCCTCGGGGAGGGCGTAACCTGCCCTGGAAGTCTTGAAACACGTGGGACATGAGTCTTAGGGTCCACACAGTTAGCAAAATGGTCTCTGCCCATGCCTTAGCTGGTGGGCAGTAAAGTAAACAAAAGTGATTGGCCTTTGTGGAAGAGCAAGACTGATTTCTCTGACTTAGTTGATGCCACAGATTTTTTCCGACATTTAAAAATAGACTGCTTTACTTAGATAGTTCAGGAGAATGTAGAGAACAACATGTCGCTAAAAAAACATGTGTTTCACATCCAGTTGTAACCGCTAGGAGGTCTGACCCTGTCATGGCTGCCTTTTAGATCATGATTTGTGGAAGTTGACTGTGCGCACGTGGCACCAAGTGTTGTTGACACACACAGGAGCTCTCCGATAGATAGATTTTTTTTTTTTTTTTTAAAGATTGATTTATTTATTTGAAAGGCAGAGTTACAGACAGGCAGAGGCAGAGAGAGAGGTCTTCCATCTACTGGTTCACTCCCCAAATGGCCGCAATGGCCAGAGCTGGGCTGATCTGAAGCCAGGAGCCAGGAGCTTTTTCCGGGTCTCCCACATGGGTGCAGGGGCCCAAGGACCTGGGCCATCTTCTACTCCTTTCCCAGGCCATAGCAGAGAGCTGGATTGGAAGTGGAGCAGCCGGGACTAGAACTGGTGTCCATATGGGATGCAGGCACTGCAGACTGGGGCTTTAACCCGCTGTGCCACAGCACCAGCCCTGATAGGTGGTTCTTAGTTAAGTAGCCCTGGTCTGCAGCCGGGTCCTCAGCTTACCCTGAATAAGGCCCAGGGCATCCCCTCTGTGTCTGACATCTGTGTCACTCTGTTGTCAGAATCCCTGCGTGCACTCTGCTCTCACTGTCCCCAGAATGTTCCTGTGTGCACTTGCCACGAGACTGCTTTTACTCCCCTGTTCCTTCCACTGGGAGCTTGCAGACGTATCCTAGACACTCACTCCTGCAGGAGTCTTTCTGACGGCAGCTCTCCCCTGAAGCCAGTGTAGAGTGAGCTTCTGTGCAGTGCCGTGGCCCTTAGCATGCTGCGTGTGTGTGACCCCTAGGGTGTGCCCCGTCACGGTCGCTGGGATACGTCTCATGCGTGGTTTTTGCTCTCTCCACTGTAAACACTGGAGAGGCACAGGTAGCATTTATTTTTGTGCCCTTCCCAACCCTTCAAATTTTTTTGAGATACTTTTTGAAGTAGAAAGATCCAGAGTTTGTCATTTACTACTGATTTGCTTCTTTAGCCCATAGCTGGCTTCCTTTCCCCTTCTGACCGGGAACAAACCTTTGATTCACAGCTTGACAAAGTCCACAGTCTTTTCCGGCGACAACTGGCGATCCCTCTCTACGGTAAGAGACGCAGCCCTGGCGGTAGCCAGCCCTTGGCGTCTTCAGATGTGTCTCAGTGTGTCATGGCACGGGTCCTCCCAGCAGCCTGTGGGGCAGGCAGGGCTGCTGTCCTCATTCTCAGTGCACACTGTCACTCTGTACCAGGCCTCCCAGGAGGATTGTAAGGAGCACAGGCCCTCCTTGACGATGTCATCAAGGAGGGAGGTGGGGGCTGCAGCTGACGGAGGTCGGCTTTACCATCCAAGGGTTCTGTGGAGGACTAACTTCCGTGACAGAGTAGAGTTCATGTGGGGGGGTTAGGTTTGAGAGTACTGGTGATGGGAAATACGTGCATTTGAATTTCTTGGGTTTGTTAATAGTCGTATTTTGGGGTAAGTGTATTTTTGGCAAGCCGCGCCTCTGTGAGTGTTCAGCGCCCAGAGGGCTGCAGAACGTGGGAGGAGTCGGGGACCTTTGCCTTGTCCGTTCCCTGGCTGTGCAGCGTATAGGGCACTTCACTTGACCAGGTGTTACTGCCTTGTACTCTGTGGTTTATCTGGGTTCAGTTTAACAAATGATAAAGTGACAACATTGGATCATGAGGTGACATGCGGGAAAGGCCAGTACTGAGGTGTCTCACTGATTTTGTCTCACATACCAGTAAGCAACAACCTCACCTGGTGACCCAAGTGTGAACTTGAGTCAGTCAGCCTGGGTGCAGAGCCTTGCTCTGCCTTCAACCGTAGCCAAGTGACTTCGCCCTCGCCTTCAGTTTCCTAGACTCCAAATGAGGGTCACATTAGATAGTGCGCTGTGGCGGTGTGGGGGTCAGATGAGTTAATGATGAAAAGTGAGGTCAGGTGGTGCTGATAAGTTCATTGACTCTTGATTAATTAGCCGGTACAGGTGCCTGGGACGTTGAGGTGGAAAGGATTCTGGGACCAGCTCGGCTCGGCAGGAGAGCTGCCATGACCACAGATGAGGGAGGGGCTGGTGGCACCTGAGTCTCATGGCTCAATCTGTGTTTGGGTTGATACAATGCAAGGGCAAGACCCACGGGGCTGAAATCCATCTTTCGATAGATATGGAGGCCACGTTTGCAGAGTACGAGGAATGGTCGGAAGACCCAATACCAGAGTCGGTGATTCAGAGCTATCACAAAGCACTGCAGCAGCTGGAGAAATACAAACCCTACGAGGAAGCGCTGGTGAGTGTTGGCTTCTCGTCCTCAACTCCCCTCTCCACGCATTTCCCTGAGCCTCCGTTGCATTATCTTGAAAACCTGTACTGTTGTGAAATGTAGCCTGTATAAGTGTGTCCATACAGCTCACATCATAATAATGAAGTGAACGTCCGTGTACCCACCACCCAGGCTAAGAAATAGAACATTGCCAGTACCTTAGAAGTCTCCTATGTGCCCCTCTCCGATTGCTTCCTCCTCCCTCTCGCGAGAGGTAATCACTTTCCTGACTTTGTGATAATCATTCCCTTGCTTTTCTTTATAATTTCACAGCCAGTAAACGTATCCTGAATTAATATGTTGTGTTGATTTTGCTTGCTTTGGAACCTTTATATAATGGAGTCGTGCACTGTATTTCTTTTGAACATTCAGCATGTTTTGGGGTTTGCTCACGTTGATAAGGATAGTTGCGGTGTGTGTGCTGCCCCTGCTGTGACGCCGGCTGTATTCACCACAGGCCTCCTTGCCGGGCAGTGGGCTTACCTCCAGGAGCACAGAGCGTCCTCTCTGTCTGCTGGAGCAGCTGGGAATGAAGTCGCTGGGGCGTGGGTTAGTGCCAGGGGTTGTCCAGGTGGTCAGTTCTCATTCCTGCCCGTGCTAGCTGAGAGGTCTCACTGCAGGCGCTGAATCCGGGCGCTGGCAGGTTTTGCCGGTTGACGAGTCTGAGATGGTGGTTTTGCATTTGCCTGATTACTAATAGAGTTGAGCATCGTTTCACTTTTATTGGTTATTTGGATTTACTGTGTTTTGTGAGATGCATATTAAAGTCTTTGGCCCATTTTACTTTTCATCTGTTTCTTTTCCAGTTGAGTTTTGGGAGTCTGGCCTTATCCCTCATTGTTGGTTGTATGTATTGCATTCCTATTCCCCCCCACCTGTGGCTTGTCCACTTTTTAAAATGGTGTCTTTTGCTGAACAGCTCTTAATTTTCCTGTAATTGGATTTGTTATTTTTCCCTTGTGGTTTGTGCTTTTGTTGTGCTTATTTGAGAAATCTGTCTTCAATGTTCTGAACTCTATTTTCTTAAGAAAGTGTTACCGTTTCACTTTCCCACCCGGAGAAGGAGTTGTCCTAGTTCTGATTCTGATAGCCCTGACCCCACCTCGCTGATGTGCTGATGTGCACGGCGCCCCGCGGCCTCTGTGCCGGGTCAGCCGTCTGTTCTGTGCCGGCCTCTCTCCTGGTTTGTGTGGCACCAGCACAAGGACTGGCTTTGTGAGAAGCTTTGATCGTGGATCCCATGAGTCCTATCCACCTTGTTCCTCTTTGTGAGAGTGTGGCTTTTTTTTTTTTTTTTGAGATTTCTTTATTTGAAAAGCAGACTGAGAGACCGAGACAGAGAGATCTTCTACCTTGCTTCACCCCCAGATGCCGCGATAGCCAGGCACTCAGTGTTGGGTGCAGGCATTTCAAGAAGCATCTTAGGCTGCAGCAGTGCCTGCCCCACCTCCGCGCTCTTCTCCATCAGGCTGAGAGTCAGCTGTTTAAGGTTCTATTTAAACCACAGAAACAACGCCTCTTGTCTTTGATTGGAATCACTTTGAATCTACGGATCAGTTTGGGGAAGAATTTCCATCTTCTGCTTGCTGGCCTCTGCTCTTTAGGCTTGTTTCTCTGTAAAGCTTTCTAATTTCATAATGTATCCAAACTTGATACTTACTTTAAATATATTTTGAAGTGGTTTTTGCTGTCAATGATACTCTTTTAATTTGAAGATTTGTTTATTTGAAAGGCAGAATTAGAGAGGGGAGACATAGAGATCTTCCATCTGCTGGTTTCTCCCTAAATGGCTGCAACATTTGGGGCTGGACCAGGCTGAAGCTAGGAGCCAGGGACTGCATCTGGGTTTCCCACGTGGATGGCAGGGCCTCAAGGATTTGGCTCATCTTCCACTGCCTTCCCAGGTGCGTTGGCTGGGAGCCGGGTAGGAAGAGGAACAGCCAGGCACTTGGTGTTATGGTGTAGCAGGTGAAGCTGCCGCCTGCAACGCTGGCATCCATATGGGTGCTGGATCATATCCTGGCTGCTCCACTTTTATCCAGTTCCCTGCTAATGAATGGCCTGGGAAAAAGCAGCAGAAGATGGCCTAAGTACTTGGGCCCCAGCAGCCCACTTGGGACATGGAATCTCTCTCTCTCTGTCTCTCTGCTTCTTCTGTCTCTAACTTTGACTTTTCAAATACACACACACACACACAAAAAAAGAGCAGCTGGGACTTGAACCAGTGCACATATGGGATGCCTGCTTTGCAGGTGGAGGTTTGACCAGCTGTGCCACAACACTGGACCCAGGTAAATGATACCTCTTTAAAGAGTTTTATTTTCTAGTTGCTCTTGGTATATATTCATTTTTTAACGCCCAAACTTGATAAATTCTTAACTTACAGGTTCTTTTGGATACTCTGTTTTGATTATATGAGGGTACTTCCAAACGTTTGTGGAAAAGTGGAATTGAAAGTTTGTTGTAGCTCAAAAATTTTTAAATCTGTATGTAGTTTTTTTCATAAATGCACATTTTCCATGAACTGCTTGGAAGACTTTGTATTTTGTAAATGACATTTTGCCCTTTTTGCTCTTAGAATACTTTTTATTTTTTTAAAGATTTTATTTATTTGAGAGGTAGAGTTTCAGAGAGAGGGAGAGACAGAGAGAAAGGTCTTCCACCCTCTGGTTTACTCCCCAAGTGGCCGCTATGGCAGAAGCTGAACCCATCTGAAGCCAGGAGCGGTCCAGCACTTGGGCCATCTTCCACTGCTTTCCCAGGCCATAGCGGAAAGCTGGATGGGAAGAGGAGCAGCTGGGACTAGAACCGGCGCCCCTATGGGATGCCAGCACTGCAAGCGGAGTATTAACCTGCGCCACAGCGCTGGCCCCTCGAATACTTTTAAACTTCACTTAGCATTGCTCAGACGCGCTCCTGTTTCCCTGTGTCTGTGTTTGACGAGGTCTGCAGTCAGCATTTGGGAAATGAGCGCCTGCACTTCCTCTCCGGGGCCCCTCCTTCCTTCTTGTGCCCTAGCTCTTCTGTCTGAGGGGCTCCCGTCTCCTGCACTGGGGACCGGCTGTGAACGGAGGCCGCCGGCTGGGCCTGTCCGAGGGGGCTCCCGTCTCCTGCACTTGGGGACCGGCTGTGAGCGGAGGCCGCATGCTGGGCCTGTCTGAGGGGGCTCCTGTCTCCTGCACTGGGGACCACTGGGGACCGGCTGTGAGCGGAGGCCGCCGGCTGGGCCTGTCCCAGCTCTTCACTCTGCTCGGGAGTTGCTCTCCCGGGACGGTGGATTCCAGCCGACTGTCAGGTTCTCCACTCTGTCTCTGCCGTTGCCGTCGGGAGCTCAGCCGTCTGACTCTTGCTGCGGTCTCTCCGGCTGGTTGGCTTGGCTGATGTTCTGGACGTGGGTGGCAGTGGGCCCACGTGTGGGTCTGTTTAATTTCTCAGTTTGTGGTTTGGGCTTCTTGGCTGTATTTGGTGTGTTTCTCGACACAGTGGGTCGCAGGGCTGACTGTGGGGGTGGAGCTCTCGGTGTGGATCCTGGCTCTGCTGCTTGCTTGCCAGCTCTGTGACCCAGGCCCGTTCTTACCCTGCCATGTCTCAGTTTCCCCGAGTCCAAGGTGGGGTAGTATTGAGCCCTGCCGTAGAGGATTGTTGTGAAGATCGGATTCTTAGTATATTTGGAACCAAAGCTTACCTTTATGTAGCTTGCCACCTTCACTTAGATTTTGTCTTTAGTACTTCTGTTTCTTTGCCAGTTTGTTGATGGTTTTTTTAAGTTTTTTTTTTAATGTATTTAATCCAGTGGCCCAGTCCACCATCACGACTGGAAAGCGAGGCTGTTTGGAGGAGGTGCGTCTTGGCAGCCTGCCTGTCCCCCCTCCCCCCTTCTTTTTCACATGCAAACACTTTGTGTGTAGTTCTCTTCCCTCTACTTGTGGCCTTCTGCGCAGTCTGGCTCCTGAGAAAGCAGGGTGGGGAAGAGGATTCTGTGTGTGAAGAGTTGTGCTGTGCGTCTGGATCAGTAAACACTCAGCACAGCCTCAGCCTTCTGCATCTGCCTGGAACCCTGCGGGAGCGGAAGCTGAAATGGCACAGGGCTCCTGTTTGTCCTGCTTCGGTGCATCACTGTACTTAGTCGGCCGAGCAAGGGTCGTGTGTTCTGGAAGGGGGACTGGCCGTGGCCGTGGCCGTTGGCAAAGGTGTTGCTGTTCCAGTCAGTTCCTGATTGATGGCGAGTTAAGTCCCCTGTGGCCTAGGAAGGGATTTAGAAGAGAGTTTATGGAGCTTTCGTAACTTCCCGTGCAGAGGCCCTTTGGGCCAGATGGGAAGCCTCTCAGCAGGCCCATGGGAGTGTAGACGCTGTGGTGCGGGGGCTGGCGGAGTGAGGACCTGTGTTACTCAGCAGGCCCATGGGAGTGTAGACGCTGTGGTGCGGTGGCTGGCAGAGTGAGGATCTGTTACTCAGCTTGGTGTAGCGGGCTTGCCAACGGTTACTTTTATTAAAGATGTTTTGTGCCTCTGTGGTACCAGGTTACTCAATTCAACTTCACTGCCATTTCCCTGTGCTCCAGCTGCAAGCAGAGGCGCCGAGACTGGCCGAGTATCAAGCATATATTGATTTCGAGATGAAAATTGGTGACCCTGCTCGCATTCAGCTGATCTTCGAGCGTGCCCTGGTTGAGAACTGCCTCGTCCCAGACTTATGGATCCGTTACAGTCAGTACCTAGTAAGATAACCACCCTGAAGCTACGTCGTCTTCAGTCATGTAGAATCTGTTGAGATCGAGAGCATCAGGAGTTGGTTGCACGCTGCCTGTGTCTGCCTTTCCTTCCGCCATCTTCCCCTCCCCTTCTTGGCCACTCCCCTGGGGGGTTCTCCTAGTGCTCTAGGCAATGTAAACCGACCTCTGGCTCTAAGACTCGCTGTAGTCCGGCTGTGATGGGGGATTCGTCTCACATCAGTTGTGTTTCTTTCAGCTGTGTATCATGGAAAAGTGTAAACATCAGACAGTCAGTAAATGACCCCTTGTGGACCCCTCAGCCATCTTCAGTGAGGGCTCTGTCTGGGTTCATGGCTCCTCCTGTATCCATACTTTTTCCCCTTCCATGTTTTAAAGCAAACCCAGAAATGTTTTGTCCCTGCTGCATATGTCAGTGTGTGTCTAAAAGGTCCTTTATGGGTATGAGGGCCCAAGTGAGGTCCGTACCTTGGGTCTGGTTCATGTCTCCCAAGGCTGTTTCCCTCCTCCACTTCTCCTCTTCTCCACTCTCCCTGTGGTCTCTCTGTTAAAGAAACTGGGTCACGAGAGACACTTTGAAAGAAGTTTCCCTTGTCACCTGGTTGTGCTGGCAAAGTCTTGTTGATGGCGAGGTCTAACTACTAAGACAGGTCTCCTAACCCCGGGGTTCTTTATCACAGGACCGGCAGCTGAAAGTGAAGGATTTGGTTCTGTCCGTACACAGCCGTGCCGTCAGAAACTGCCCCTGGACAGTTGCCCTCTGGAGTCGGTACCTGTTGGCCATGGAGAGACATGGCGTGGATCATCAAGTGATTTCTGGTACGGCTGTTTCTGTGGGATGGGTGCTAAGCTTGTTACCCTAAGTGAGAAACGATTGTGATGAAGCCATTAAGTCAGCGTTCCCCAGGGTCTTCTGTGGGCTGTTGAGTGTTGATGACAGAAGAGGCTCTAAGTGGCTGAGCCCTTTGTATTTTTGGCGTCTTAGAGTGTGTGTGTGTGTGTGTGTGTTTTAAATTAATTTATTTGAAAGGCAGAGTTACAGAAAGGTGGAGAGAGAAAGTCTTCCATCTGCTGGTTCACTCCCCAGATGGCTGCAGTGACCAGAGCTGAGCCAATCTAGGAGCCAGGAGCTTCGTCCAGGTCTCCCATTTGGGTGGCAGAGGTGCAAGGACTTGGGCCATCTTCTGCTGCTTTCCCAGGCCACAGCAGAGAGCTGGATTGGAAGTGAAGCAGCCAGGACTCGAACTGGCGCCCATGTGGGATGCTGACCCTGCAGGTGGTGGCTTTACCCACTTAGCCACAGCACTGACTCCAAAGAGCTTTGAACCATGCTCTATTCACTGTCCTATCCTAGGAAGTTGTGGTCTTCTGTCCAGACTCACTTGACCTGGGAGCCCTATACAGGCCCTTGTGGAGTGAATAGAACTGAGGTACCCTGGCCGTGCTGTGCTCTGGGGCCTCTGAGGGACCCTGACTCTGCAGTGCTGTAGGGGCCTCTGTCTTGAGCGTTTCTCTCCAGCCCATTCCACTGTTTTGCTTATTGCTGTTTCTTACAGTCATGTAGTGTGCTGTCATTGGTAGAGTTTGACAACTTTTATGTTTTGCTTCTTTGTGAATTGGCAAAAAATCCTGATTTTTCTCCAACTGCAGTGACCTTCGAGAAAGCTTTGAATGCGGGCTTCATCCAGGCCACTGATTATGTGGAGATTTGGCAGGCGTACCTGGATTACCTGAGAAGGAGGGTAGATTTCAAGCAAGGTATATAGCTGTGTGTGTTTCATTTGTGTACTGATTTGTTTTAAAACTCATTTTTTGGAGAGATGGTCCAGTGGTCCAGTTCCCCAGATATGTTGAATTTGAATAAAGAGTATAGACCAGCCATTTATAACTTTGCTTCCCCAGAAATTCTCCCGTTTGCATCTTTTTTTTTTAAGATTTATTTATTTATTTGAAAGGCAGAGAGTTACAGAGAGGCAGAGCCGGGGGCAGAGGGGGTTCCATCCACTGGTTCACTCCCCAGATGGATGCAACAGCTGGAGCTGTGCCGATCTGAAGCCAGGAGCCTGAGGCTTCTTCCAGGTTTCCCATGTGGGCACGGAGATCCAAAGACTTAGGCCATCTTCCACTCCTTTCCCAGGCCATAGCAGAGAGCTGGATCAGAAGAAGAGCAGCTGGGACCTGAACTGGGGCCCATAAGAGATACTGGCACTGCAGGCAGCAGCTTTATCCGCTATGCCACAGCACCGGCTCCCCCATCTACATCTTTAACAAGTTGTGGTGTAGATTCTAAAGAAGAGAGTTAATGGTCCTATGTCTTTTGCTTGCTCTGGTCAGCTTCTTTTATCTCCCCTCTGATTTTTCACTCTTTTCTTTTTTTTTCATATTAATTTGAAAGGCAAAGTTAGAGGGAGAGACAGAGATGGAGAATCATCCATCCACTGGTTCCTTCCCCAAAGTCAGGACCCTGGAACTCCATCTGGGTCTCCCCAGTGTTGGTGCTGCTTCCCCAGGTGCATGAGCAGGGAGCTGGATTGCAAGAGGAAGCAGCTCAGGCTCCAGCTGGTTGGTGCTCCTGTGTCACGGGCAGCGGCGTCACCTGCTGCACTGCAGCACCAGCCCCTCCTCCTTCACTTCTGTCCCTTTTGTGTCCCTCACATAGTTCTTGAAATAGAACTGCTGTGTGTTTTTAAATCTTTGAACCCCTACAAGATCCCCTGCTCTGCTCTTCCCTTGCCCCCCCCCCCAAAAAAAAACAAACAAACAGCCAAGTACAAGAGTTGCCCTGCGTTCTGCTTTCTCCCTGCTCTGTGGGCAGGGACTGGTTTTATTTCTGTCTCTCCCCCTGATGACAGGGTGTGCAGGGGTCTCCCAGCAGTTTAGGGGAGGGCTGCTGTGTTTTCATGGTCTCTCCCTGGCGTTCTGACAGACTCCAGTCAGGAGCTGGAGGAGCTGCGGTCCACGTTCACGCGCGCGCTGGAGCACCTGCAGCAGGAGGTGGAGGAGCGTAAGTCTGCCCAGCCTCTGCCCTGCCGGTCGCCGCGCCCGTTCTCGGTCAGTGGAGCTTTTCAGCCCAGGGCTGCTGTCTGCAAGGTCCTTCTCATCCTGACTAATTTCCTTCTTGAAGGTTTCAGTGAGAGTGGAGATCCGAGCTGCGTGATCATGCAGAACTGGGCTAGGATTGAGGTAAATGTTTTTGATAAATCTGTCAGTTTCATCCACCTATCAAACATTAACATTTTGCTGATATTAATAATGTTTCTTAATCCTATGAATCCCAGGTAATGGTGTAGGCATCATGAGAATTCGTGATACCTACGTAGCTGGATGTACATTCGTTTATCTCATAGTGAAAATATTAGCTTCCAGCTGGCCCTCGTGCAGCAGATGCCGGCTACTTGTTGCTGTTTCTTACCCTTGCTCGTTGGCACATGTGTGGGAGCATCAGGAGTATATGCTGAGTGCCAGCATGTTAGTGGGTGCCCGGGGAATGGAGTACACAGGGCCTCCGGGCCCGGGAGACTTGCTGCAGGAGATAGCCCCTTGGCCAGGTAATGAGAACATGAAATAAGCTGTCATTACTGGGCCAAGGACACCAGGCTCCGTGAGACACGGAGACTGAGGGAGAGTCAGGCTAAAGAAGCTGGCGTCTGTCAGCTCGTTCCGGACTGTTTGCGGTTTGCAAGAAGTGGAGGGAGATGGTTTGTGCCTTGTCACAGTGGAAAGGCCAGAGTGGTGGGCCTTAGCCTTCAGCACTGGAGGGAGGCCTGGGGGTCACGCTGGCAGTCCCAGGGGCTCATCTCGCATGTCTGTCTCAGGGTGTTTTGTGATGGGTGCTGTTAGCAGGCTTCGGTCCTTTCTAACTGAGCCGATGCGTTTTAGGCTCGACTGTGCAATAACATGCAGAAGGCCCGGGAGCTCTGGGACAGCATCATGACCAGAGGGAACGCCAAGTACGCCAACATGTGGCTGGAGTACTACAGCCTGGAGAGGTGAGCACTGGGCGGGGCAGAGTACTACAGCCTGGAGAGGTGAGGACTGGGCAGGGGCGGGGCAGAGTACTACAGCCTGGAGAGGTGATACTGGGGGGGGCGGAGTACTACAGCCTGGAGAGGTGAGCACTGGGCGGGGCGGAGTACTACAGCCTGGAGAGGTGAGCACTGGGCGGGGGGGGGGCAGAGTACTACAGCCTGGAGAGGTGATACTGGGCGAGGAGTGAGGGAGGCAGAACTCTTTGGCCTGCACCTGTCTTTAGTCCTGCCTCACTCTGGCTGGCCTGGGTTTGCTCCTCACAGCTGGGCTGCCTGCCTTCATGCTGGTGATTTCTTTTAATGGCACGTTTTACTGGGCAGGGCTAGGGAACCAAACGTGTAAAATTTGTGTCAGGGGCTCTTACAGCCTGTGTTTGTTCTAATTTGTTTTTTTTTTTTTTTTTTTCCCATTTTTGGGCAAGAATGCTTTTAATTTGACTTTCTTGGAGCTATTTATTTTATGCAATTTTATAGAAAAGTAGAATACTAAAAAGCAAAGAGGAAAAAATTCCAATTACTTTGCAGCCGCTGACCTGGATACACTGTTTTAGGATATGTGCTTTGAGACTTTCTCATGCTCAAACTTAAAAATGAAGATGCAAAAACAGCATATATATAGTGTACACATATCATAAACCTTGAAAACCACTCAAAATAATTAAGGTAGTGAAACATTCATAACCTGGAGAGTATAGAAAGAATACAGCTAACTTTTCTGCTCAGTGTGTCTTGAACAGTGCATGCCATTAAATGTATTTCTACACTTTTTTCTTTTTTGAATATCTTGCTTTAGCCCCATTTAAACAATAATATGTGCTTGAATTAAAATAGAGCGTTTCAGAAATGTGTGAGAAGGTGCCAGTTGCCTGCAGTCCCCCCCAGAGAGGACCCTAGCAATGCCTGTCCCCCTCCCCCCCGAGAGGACCCTAGCAATGCCTGTCCCCCTCCCCCCCAGAGAGGACCCTACCAATGCCTGCCCCCATCCTCCCCCAGAGAGGACCCTACCAATGCCTGCCCCCTCCCCTCCCAGAGAGGACCCTACCAGTGCCTGCTGACTGCCCCTCCTTGGCTTCAGGGCCCCTTCACACTCGTAACACTTCAGAACCACTGAGAGCTGTTATCTCTGTGGGTTGTAGTGTTGGATACTCCCCATATTAGGAGATAACACTGAAAAACTTAAAATGTTTTACTTTTATTAATTCAAAAGTAAATCCATTAAATGTAACAAATAGCTTTTTTTTTTTTTTTTTTGAGAAATGTATTTTCCAAACCCAAAATCAATGAGTGGGAAAAGTGTCACATTTTGTGTTTGGGGACATCTCCAGTCAGTCTTAGCCCCGTGTGTCTGCTGTCAGACTGTTGTGCTGTGTTGTTTCCACTGAAGAGCACGAAGGCAGTTTGGCCTCGCCTAGAGGAGAGGTTAGAGAAGAAGGGGCTGTTTTAGAACCCGTCCAGGTCATTGTGGCTGCTCTTCCATCAGACAGCAAAACTCAGCAGGTGATGGCTTCTTAAAGGCATTTGCAACGTACTGTATTACAGAACCTTCTCCCGTTGTGTTACATTACTTCCGTTTGTCTGCTTTGTGCTTTGCAAGGGCTTTTTACCTGTTATGTGGTGCTGTGGTCCTGGGACGTGCGCTGTGCTTGCAAAATCCATTCGGGCTGAGTTGCTCAGCTCTTCCAGATGTGGACAGGTGCATCCCTGGTGCCTGACGCCCCTTTGTTCGTCTGCTCTGCTCCCTGATCCTGGCAGGACAGCCTGTCACGTAGGAGCTGCCCTACTCAGAGTGGCAGATGGCAGGTTTTCAGAATTCTAATTTTCACTTGCAACTCGAATTTCACTTGCAATGACTTATTATGATGCCATTGGTTTCCCAGGAAGTTGCGAGCTCATCATGAATTGTTGGGAATGTCTTGCCAAGTACCCAGGGCCACAGTCGTTTGTCAGGTGGCTCCTCTTTCAAGTAGAAATGGTGTTGCCTGAGCTGAGTGACTCGCTCAGCCTTCAGCCATAGCAATGACACACGTGCTTCCCTGTATCAGCCCACGTGCTCGGGGTGCAGGGGGCCCTGTGTGTGTCCCAGCCTGTCACACGGCGTTGGGAAAAGGTGCGCACTGCCCTGACTGGGGCAGGACCACTGTTGCCTTTGCAGCACAGTGGAAAAGCCCAGTCATACGTGGCTGCTGTTATGAAACGACTCTATGAAAACATTTAAATATTATTTATTTGAAAGGCAGAGGGAGTGCGTTTCCATCTGCTGGTTCACTCGCCAAATGCCTGGAATAGCCAGGGCTGAGCCAGGCTAAAGCCAGAAGCCCAGAACTCAGTCTGGGTCTCCCATTTGCATGGCGGGCTCTCAGCCACTTACACCTTCATCACCTGTTGCCGCCCAGGGTGTACATAAGCAGGAAGCTGAAATTGGGAGCAGAGCCAGGACTTGAATCCAGGGGCTCTGGCATGAGAATGGATGTCTTTGCCGAACGTCTGTCCCCACTGCCCGCCCCCCACTCCTCACTGCCCAGAGGTGGCCCGAATGCAGAGCCCTGAGAGGGCTGGAATGGTGCCTGGGTCATCCTTTGAGACTGCTGCTCTAGTTTTTTTCTGGGTTCCCTAATAGGTATGACGACATATATTTATGATTTTTTAAAACGGAAATGGGAGCCCCCTGTTTCCTAACTGTTGCTCTGTGCTGTGAGCGCAGTGCATCTCTCCACGCTGATGGAGAGGCCAGACCACATTGACAGTCCCCTGGCTGAGTGTTCTCCCTCGGCTAGGACTGCACACTGGAGTGTCCTGGGGGTTGCATCAAGTTCGTGGAGTTGTTGCCCTGCCCCCCTCCCCCAGTGTTGCACATGTGATCCTGTGAGGCAGAGTGGGTGCGACCACTGTCCCAGCGCATCTTCAAGTAGCACCCTGCTCGTTTAGAGGGAGCCTGCCCTTGGGTTGGAAGAGGGTCTCCTCAGAAGCGGGTGTTGTGGGAGAGCAGCCCCCTGGGAGACAGTAGCCTCTGCCGGGTGTCGTGGCAGCAGCGGCTGTTTGTTTTCTGCCCTAGGGCGCATGGTGACACTCAGCACTGCCGGAAGGCTCTGCACCGGGCCGTTCAGTGCACCAGCGACTACCCCGAGCACGTGTGTGATGTGCTGCTCACCATGGAGAGGACAGAAGGTAGGCCCTCAGCTCTCTGTGGTGACTGGAGGGCAGTGGTGGGTTCTCAGCTCTCTGTGGTGACTGGAAGGCATGGTGGGTTCTCAGCTCTCTGTGGTGACTGGAGGGCAGTGGTGGGTTCTCAGCTCTCTGTGGTGACTGGAGGGCAGTGGTGGGTTCTCAGCTCTCTGTGGTGACTGGAAGGCATGGTGGGTTCTCAGCTCTCTGTGGTGACTGGAGGGCAGTGGTGGGTTCTCAGCTCTCTGTGGTGACTGGAGGGCAGTGGTGGGTTCTCAAGGGGGCCCATGTGGAGGCACTGTGGTTGTGGCCCCCGCCCTCCCCTGCGCTGTGTCATTAGACGTCCCGCGGTGCTCGCCCGTGGGGCTGAGTCCTCCTGCAGCTCTTGTCAGGTTCTCCGGCCACAGGAGGATTCTCTGAGGGGGCGGAGCCCAGGGCCCCTGAATCCCTTGTCGTGGGTGGGGGCTGGCCCTTGTGTTGCAGGACACTTAGTGGCATTCTTGGCCTCTACCGACTGGAGGCCAGGAGCCCTCAGCCCAGCCCCGTGTGACAACTCAAGCATTGCCAAATGTCCCTTGTTGGGCAAGATTGCCCAGTTGGGAGCCACTGGCGTATCGCAGTGTCTGCACAGCACAGAGGCCCAGGCAGGCAGGGCCCATGTGTCCTTTGGGCACATGTGCACTGCTGGTTGAGTTTTAGAGCCTCCAGTGGTAAGTTGTAGCATCAGAACACCTGGGAAAATGTAAGTGTTTCTACGGGCGTTAGTCTGCAGATCGGATGCCCAGACAGCTCAGCACACTTCAGTGGTCTCTTTTAAATTTTATTCTTCAGGGTTTTCTTTTTTTTTTTTTTATTTTTTTTTTTTTATTTTTTGATAGGCAGAGTGGACAGAGAGAGACAGAGAGAGAAAGGTCTTCCTTTGCCGTTGGTTCACCCTCCAATGGCCGCCGCTGCAGCCGGCGCACCGCGCTGATCCGATGGCAGGAGCCAGGATCCAGGTGCTTTTCCTGGTCTCCCATGGGGTGCAGGGCCCAAGCACCTGGGCCATCCTCCACTGCACTCCCTGGCCATAGCAGAGGGCTGGCCTGGAAGAGGGGCAACCGGGACAGAATCCGGCGCCCCGACCGGGACTAGAACCCGGTGTGCCGGCGCCGCAAGGTGGAGGATTAGCCTATTGAGCCACGGCGCCGGCTTTTTTTTTTTTTTTTTGCCGTTGGTTTACCCTCCAATGGCTGCCACGGCTGACGTGCTGCGGCCGGTGCATCACGCTGATCCGAAGGCAGGAGCCAGGTGCTTCTCCTGGTCTCCCATGCAGGTGCAGGGCCCAAGCACTTGGGCCATCCTCCACTGCACTCCCGGGCCGCAGCAGAGAGCTGGCCTGGAAGAGGGGCAACCGGGACAGAATCCGGTGCCCCGACCGGGACTAGAACCTGGGGTGCCGGCGCTGCAAGGCGGAGGATTAGCCTATTGAGCCATGGCACTGGCCTGTTTTTGTTTTTTAAGGACTTATTTATTTATTGGAAGGGCAGAGTGGCACAGAGACAGATCTTCCATTTGCTGGTTCACTCCACAAGTGGCCACGATAGCCAGGCTGGGTCACATTGAAGCCCAAAGCCAGGAACTCCATCTGGATGGCAAGAACTCATTCACTGCCTCTCAGGTGCATTAGCAGGGAGCTACATCTTAAGTTGAGTAGCTGGCACTCTTAACTGAAGGCACACCGACAGGGAATGGTGGCAGCTTAGCTACCTCCAGGTTCTTCAGTCTGAGTATGAATGTACTTTTTGCATTAGAACGTTTTCATTTTCTTTGCCATCAAAGGCACATAAGGGCCGGCGCCGCGGCTCACTAGGCTAATCCTCCACCTTGCGGCGCCGGCACACCGGGTTCTAGTCCCGGTCGGGGCGCCAGATTCTGTCCTGGTTGCCCCTCTTCCAGGCCAGCTCTCTGCTGTGGCCAGGGAGTGCAGTGGAGGATGGCCCAAGTACTTGGGCCCTGCACCCCATGGGAGACCAGGAGAAGCACCTGGCTCCTGCCATCTGATCCGCGCGGTGCGCCGGCCGCAGTGGCCATTGGAGGGTGAACCAACGGCAAAAGGAAAACCTTTCTCTCTCTCTCTCTCACTGTCCACTCTGCCTGTCAAAAAAAAAAAAAAAAAAAAAAAAAAAAAAAAGGCACATAAGAAGTCAAAACTTCAGGCTGACGCAAATGGAATTTTCTTAAAAAGAGGAGTTGATTGTCCAGGCCTCCTCATCTGAGGGGAGAGCTCTGGAGGTGTGGGCAAGTCGAGGGCATTTTCGTCATGTCCTTCAAGACCGAAGGAGCACACGTTTGGCGTCTCTCCCTCCAGGTACTCTGGAAGATTGGGATGTAGCCGTCCAGAAAACCGAGACCCGACTGGCCCGCGTGAATGAGCAGAGGCTGAAGGTGATGGCGGGGTCCGTGTGAAGACTAAACCTGTTTCCAGTCGCCTCTTAAACTGACAGTTCTTTCTCATGTGTTGTCGGGGAGTTTGGGCCCTGAACTTTATTGGAATAGACAAAGAGGGAGTCTTCCTTCGCTTAGCTAGTGGAGCGTGAGCACTCCCACGTTGTGAGGGCCCTGGGCTGCTGGTGCTTAGCCTTCCTCTCAGGGAGTGATGGTTGGGGGTGTTGCTGAAGACCCCGTAGACCTGGTCGGGGCAGCCCCAGGGGCCCTGGCAGTGGGATGTTGTGGGCAGGACCCTCTGTGTCTTTTTCATCACTTGGGAGATGGATCGCATTCTCTCTCCCCTCTAACTCTCACCTTATCACGAGTCAGGACACGCACCCATGTGCCCTCCTCCCAATTGCTTAGGCTGCAGAGAAGGAAGCAGCCCTCGCCCAGCAGGAGGAAGAAAAGGCGGAACAGCGCAAGAGGGCCCGGGCTGAGAAGAAGGCGCTGAAGAAGAAGAAGAAGACCAGGAGCACAGACACACGCCCCGCCGAGGAGGATGGCGACAAAGAGTGGGGTGACGAGGAAGAAGGTGAGACCGTGCGAGAGCTTCTGTCCTGAAGCAGCTCGGACTTAGAGAGGCAGGGACGGTGCGGAGAAGTTTTGTCCTGAACTGTGTGCGGGTCAGTTCCCAGCATGTCCCCGGGCCCCTGCAATGACGTCACGGCGTGTCTTCCCCATGGCTGTCATCCGGCCATCAGGATGAACGCTGACCATTCCTCCGCCCGGTCCTCGGAGCCCGTTCCTGTCCCACACTCTGTCAGGTGGCGCCCTTGTGACGGGAGGATGCAGTCCAGGATCGCACGTTGTGCGTGGTTGTCTTGTCCCTTGAGTCTCCTTCAGTCTGGCACATTCCTCAGTCGTTCTTTGTTGGCCTTCGTGGTTTTCAAGGCCCTCTCTGTCGGGCCCCCCGGCTGTGTGCGTGTGATGCCCCGGGCTGTGCATCTGTGGAGAGGCCTGTCCTTGCATGGCAGCCGTCAGGTGGCACGCGGTTGTGGTCGTCACGGGACTGAGGTGGTGCTCTGGAGCTGCCTGTGCCCTCTTCATGGTGGTTAAGTGTGGTGATGGGTGTTTGCCTCGTGCTTTGAGCCTAGGGCAGTGTCCTGCTCCTCATCCAGCTTGCAGACTGCTGCTTCCTTATCGCTGTCATGTGGATTCATGGATTCCTGTGTCCTTGAGCAGTTTTGATTTGTAGCCACAGTTACTTATGTTGATGCTCTGCCTCTCAGATTTGGCTGACAAGAGCTCTTTGACCCGTCCTTGGCCTTGGTGTGCAACACCCAGGCTGTCTGGTGCTGTCTGTGACTCGGCCCTGGCGTCCACCCCTTCTCCAGGGTTCCTTTGAGGGAATGGTGCTTAGAGGGTGCTGGAGGGCTCACTGCTGTTGGAATGCTATTGCTGCCAGGCCCCAAGCATGATGGGAGCTGGGGATAGTGTGTGTGCCTGCATACATGTGCGTTTATAGCCGTAACTCTGTGTATACTGAAAACCGCCGGTTCACACCGATTGCTCCATTCCAGTCTAACACTCAGGGTTCACTCTGGTTTTCTCCCTTTTCCTGCTTGCTGCTACTGTTATCCTTAGTATTCCCTACTCCCCCAGTCCTCTACGGCCAGCTGCTGGTCCCTGCCTCCCTCCACAGGGGCCCTCCTCACCGTGCGTGGCCTCTCCACTCACAGTGCCCTCGCTGCCGCGGCTTTCCTGTGTGTACCCACACCCCTATCTTGGGTTCCTGTGTCCTTTACCACACTGCGGTCCCCACCCTGCACAGGGCCTGCCTCCGTGGCCCCACTTAATGGTTTGACTTGGTAGGATCTTCCTGCCAGTGCTGTGTCACCCATGTGATTTCAGGGGTGGGCAGACATAGGTCAGGTTTACATCAGCACAGTCACCCAAGGCAAAGACTGGTCTCTGGACATTGGAGGACCACACTTTCTCCTGGTCCAGGGGTGTCGGCCAGGGGACGGTGGTGCGAGGGTTGTCATTCAGTCAACCTGGGGCTCCAGGGAGGAGTGACTGCCAGTGAAGGAAGCAGAGGAGGGCACCAGAGTCAGCGAAGCGTGCAGGCACAGAGCAGTCTGGCCTTTGTGTGAGCCGCAGATAAGGGGGGTCGAGCTCAGATGACGACAGAGGGACAGCGACCGTGGGCGGGCCTGCCGGCCACAGCCAACCTAGGACACTCTTGAATGCAGTGTGCAGGGCTTAGACTGCATGGGAAGGCCGTGAGGGGAGCAGGCGCCGGCACCAGGGAGGTGAGCGCTCCCAGTGCAGGCGGTGGTGAGGGGGGGTTGAGTGCTCCTCCGCCTTCGTACGGGTTCAGGGCCACACAGCCGCTGTGGGCTCTCCAGAGTGGGCCTGGAGCACATTCGCCCGCGGTCATTTCCACGTGGACTCCTAGGTCCCATCCCGCCCCGGCTGGCCTCCCTTTGTAGGAGAGGGCCCTGGGACTGTCCTTTGACGTTTGAGTGGACAGGGGATTTATGATGTAGCCCACTTACCCCCTGTCATTGGGGTGGGAGAGTTTGCTGAGTCCCACAGTGCACTGTCAGAATTGTCCTTGGTGGGGAGCGACGTGGGAAACCCACTGAGGAGAAGGGTCCCTAAGCTGTGGCTGCTTTTCTTTGGAAAACCTGCAGAGCAGCCCGCCAAGCGCAGAAGGGTTGAGAACAGTGTCCCCGCTGCCGGAGCAGTGCACGACGGGGCCCAGGAATCGGGGGTCACCGGGAAACCCATAGACGTCGACCGCCCTTCCAAGCAGAAGGAGAAGGCGGCCTCCCTGAAGAGGGACGTGCCCAAGGTGCCCCACGACAGCAGTAAGGACAGCGTCACCGTCTTCGTCAGCAATCTGCCCTACAGCATGGAGGAGCCGGACGAGAAGCTCAGGCCACTCTTTGAGGCCTGTGGGGAGGTGGTCGAGATCCGCCCCATTTTCAGCAACCGCGGGGACTTCCGAGGCTACTGCTACGTGGAGTTTAAAGAGGAGAAGTCGGCCCTTCAGGCGCTGGAGTTAGACCGCAAGAGCGTAGAGGGGCGGCCAATGTTTGTTTCCCCCTGCGTGGATAAGAGCAAAAACCCCAATTTTAAGGTAATGTTTCTGGAGAAAATGCCCTTCATGTGGGGTTGCTTTACACAGATGAAGCACTTTGTGCCCACAGCACTCACGTTCAGAGTACACACAGAAGGTGTGTTGTTTTTTTTTTTTTTTTAGATTTATTTATTTGAAAGGCAGAGGAGAGACAGGAGACAGATCTTCCATTTGCTGGATCACTCCCTAAATGGTTGCAATGGCTGGGGCTGGGCCAGGCCAAAACCAGGAGCCTGGAACTCTATCTGGTGCTCCCAGGGGCCCAAGCACTTGGGTCATCTTCTACTGCTTTCGCAGGCACATTAGCAGGGAGCTGGATCACAAGTGGAGCAGCCAAGACTCCCAACTGCTGACCATATGGGATGTTGGTACTGCAGGCAGCAGCTTATCCCACTGCGCTATGGCGCTGGCTTCTCTACACAGAGGTTGTTGGTTTTTTTTTTTTTTTTTTTTTAATATTTATTTGAAAGTCAGAGTTACGCAGAGGAGGAGAGGCAGAGAGAGGGAGAGAGAGGCCTTCAATCCTCTGGTTCACTTATTGGCTGCAACAGTCGGAGCTGTGCCGATCTGAAGCCAGAAGCCTGGAGCTTCTTCCGGGTCTCCGCGCCAGTGCAGGGGCTCAAGCACTTGGGCCATCTTCCACTGCTTTCCCAGGCCATAGCAGAGAGCTGGATTGGAAGTGGAGCAGCTGGGACTTGAACCAGCGCCCATATGGGATGCCGGCACTGCAGGCGGTGGCTTTACCCACTATGCCACAGCACTGGCCCCTCTGCACAGAGGTTTTTATATCCTATTAGGAATTAAGCTTCCACAGACACCAAGGCCTGTCCTGAGCTGGTTGCCTGAGGGCTGACTCAAGGCCTGGTCACTCCAAGCTCGCAGTAGTTGACTCAGTAATGATAGGAAAACGGGAACTGTAACGGCAGCTGTTTCCCGCGGAATGAGCAGAGCCCGCGTTGCCTCATGGCATCCTCACCCAAGCTCTGCTTGTGCCCATTCCTGCCACTTTCCAGAGGAGGAAGTAGAAGCCTGGAGTGGCTACATGACTTGTCCCCGGGGTCCTGCTAGTGAGTGTCAGAGCCCAGATCTGGTGCTGGTCTGCCTGCAGGGGCGAGCTCCCTGCCCAGGGCTGGCCCTGTGGGGCTGGCGTGCCAGGCGCGGCTGGAACAGCACGTCTTTTTCTCTCCCTCCTCCGGCAGGTGTTCAGGTACAGCACCGCTCTGGAGAAACACAAGCTGTTCATCTCGGGCCTGCCTTTCTCCTGCACGAAAGAGGAGCTGGAGGACATCTGCAAGGCTCACGGCACCGTGAAGGACCTCCGGCTGGTCACCAACCGGGCCGGCAAGCCCAAGGTCAGCGGGGGGCGCACGTTCTGGCATGGGTTCCCCGTGATGATTCAGTGGCAAGGAATGCACACTGAGTCTCCTTCCCTGTGGAGGCAGATACTTTTTTCAAGATTAATTTGTGTATTTGGAAAGCAGAGTGACAGAGTAGGGTCGGGAGAGGAGGAGAGAATGAGAAAGATTTCCATCTACTGGTTCATTCCCCAAATGGCTGGTCAGGCCGAAGTCAGGAAGTCCATCTGGGTCTCTCATGTGGGTGGCAGGGACCCAGGTGTTTGGGCCATTGCTGCCTCCCGGGCAAGGTAGCAGGAAGCAGAGTAGCCCGAGTTGAAATTGGCACTCAGGTGTAGGGTGCCAGTGTGTTCTGAGCAGTGGTTTAACCTGCTGTTCCACGACGCCCGCCCCATGCGGAGGCAGGTGAAACTGTTTGCAGCTGTGTGTATTACAGAGGAATAGGCATTTAGAAATTAAATTAATCACAGATTCCTAAGAGCCGCAGTGTGGCCCCCTGGCTAGAGGCCTCGGGGAGGGGGTCCCTCTGCTGTGGTTACCGCTGCTCTCCCTGAGGCCCTCACTGGGCCACCTCGGGGCCTCGAGTGGACCCCTTAGCACATCCTCCCCTGCGGCCCACTCCTTTCTGCTCCACCTTTCAGCAGTTACTGTTGAGACGTGATTCTGGACCCCCTCTCACTCCCTTGCCCGCGGCCCAGCCATGCAGGTAAATGAAGAGTTAGTTGAGGAGTGTGACGGGAAGGCGGGCATGGAGGAGCAGAGACCTTGGCGCTCCCCTGGGCACCAGGGCTGCTCCCCGGTGTCTGTCCCCAGCCCACCTCCTCAGTCTGTTGGCTGGACTTATGCTGGTCTGATTGTTACTTTCATTTTTCTCTTGGGGAGCAAGCTCAAGGTGATCTGAACTTGGCTCCTCTGCGCTGCAGTCACTCCCGGCAGCGGAGGACAGGAGTAGGGAGGGAAGTCAAGCTGTGGACAGGGTGGCAGCCGTGGGGAGGGGAGCCAGTTGATGAGGTGCCTGCGTTGCAGAGTGAGGAGGCAGCTTCTCCTGGGTGTGCGGCAGCTCACCTGGCTCTGATCATGTCTCTTCCAGGGCCTGGCCTACGTGGAGTACGAAAACGAATCCCAGGCGTCGCAGGCTGTGATGAAGATGGACGGCATGACCATCAGAGAGAACGTCATCAAAGTGGCGATCAGCAACCCCCCTCAGAGGAAGGCTCCAGAGAAGCCGGAGGCCAGGAAAGCGCCGGGTGGCCCCCTGGTGCCGCGGCAGATATACGGAGCGTGAGTGTTTGTGCTGGCCAGCGCCCGGCCATGAAGGGCTAGATGAGGCAACAGTTAGGTCCCTGTTGGTAAGAGGAGTTAGGACAAGAGCACATGGGCCTGCTATCCCGGCGATGACCCCGTGGTTCTGCCGGGCAAGGTGTCCAGGGCGAGTCCAGGCCAGAAGGAGGCCCAGGCAGCGGGGCCCTGCCTCGTGTTTGCCAGGTGACACTTGTCCAAGGTCAGATGTTTCACCGGCACTGATGACGTCACCCGCCCCCTGATGCCCGAGCTTGCCAGCCTGCGGCTGCGCTCCCTAGAGAGGCCGCGCCTTCTGCCCGACAGGAGCCAGGCTGCAGGGTGGTTGGAGAGGTCTCGGAGGTGACAGCCACTTCTCACCCCAGAGTGTGACTTGCTCAGAGTCAGTCCTGGCCAGTTAATGAAGAAGGCAGAGCTTCCTGCAGTGGCTTTTAAGTAACAGCCAGGTACAGGGACAGGCCGCCTCTGGTGGGTTTTCATTTTTCATCATGAACTTTGCGTGATGTGCAGGATCCTGGCTCATCTTCACGGTACCGTGGGGGTTGCGGGTCAGTGCTTTGAAGTGTACAGTCAGTGTTTGCTTTTGCAGGCGGGGGAAGGGCAGGACCCAGCTCTCTCTGCTGCCTCGTGCCCTGCAGCGCCCTGGTGCCGGGACTCCTCAGGCTGAGAACGGCCCTGCCCCACGTCCTGCCAACGCCGCCCCTGAGGCCACAGAGGCGCCCAAGATGTCCAATGCCGATTTCGCCAAGCTGCTTCTGAGAAAGTGAGCGGACTCTGCGGGAGACGGGAAAGGCCTTCTCGCCGGCCAGTACTCCGGGGACAGAAGGGACTGGCCCAGTGCCCACCCACGGCCACGGGCTTTCCTCTGGGTCAGACAGAAGGGGAGTGTTCCCCGTGAAGCGGCGTCAGTGCTCCCTCACATTGAGGGCGACGGCAGGAACGTGAGCTCAGGGCGTGGCATCCTGAGGCACATGGGTGTCTTCCCGAGTGAGGAGCAGCTGGGTCTGGGGCAGCGTGGAGACCCGCTCGTCCCGACGCTCCCAGCCGGCCCCAGCCCTTTTTCTAAGTCACTTCTCTCACACCTGCACGGTATACGTGCCCATCACTCTTTTAATTTTTAAAAGATGGACTGGCAAATGCTAGTAACTCACCAGAACGGCCTATTTTAGGAAGGGGTGGGAGCAGGGGAGGCCACGTAGGAGAAGTCCAATGGGTTTTTGTTCGGGGGCTGTGTGTTTTTCTATTGTGTTTGTAAATGACACCTCAGCCTGTGGTTTCGTTTCCTAAAAGCAGTATCCAGATGTTTGTTTTATACCTGTACCGGAGGCCGTGTGCCACCTGCCGCGGGCCACTTCCTCTGCCTGCCGACTGGCTTTTCTTGTCTGAACCCTGAGTTTCAGCTCTTTGGTTTTGTTGAAACACCATGTCCTCCCCGTTTAGCTTTGTTTATTAAACAGAAGTTCTCTTAAACTCTTCTTGCTGAGTGGTGCTCAGAACCCTTCCTCAGGGCGGCCTGTAGCTATAAATAGAACTTTTCTAAGTCAAATCTTGTGGTCATTTTGATTTAAATTATTTCTGCTGTGATGGATCTTCAGTTGTAAACTTCAGTTTGATGCTTGAGTTTTTAAACTCTCTCACTTTTATCAGGGACTTACGGCTTTGGAAGCAGCCTTGCCAGTTCAGTAAGGAAGCTGACGTTCTAGAGGCACCGAGCTTCTTCTTCGACAGTATTTTTATTATTTGACAGGCAGAGCGCGAGTGCCCTCCCCTCTTCTGATTCAATCCCTACACGCCCATAGGGGCTGGGGCTGGGGCTGGGAATGCAGTCAGTCTCTCAGGTGGGTCTGGGCGGCCAGCTGTCTGTCTGTCGAGCCATCGCCTGCCAACTCCCAGGGTCTGCACTGGCAGGAGTAGGGAGCCGGGAGCCAGGTTCTCTGCTGTAGGACTGACTTGGGCATCCTGACCGCTGGGCTGAGTGCCTGCGCCCCCAGGGAGTCTTTTTATGCAGTGGCTATCAGTCCTCCATTTGTTTTCAGTTCTTCTATTGGGACACGTTAAACAGATGACAGAAACAGACTCCAGCTTGCCCATCGCTGCATTTGGCACCTCCCAGCCCTGTCCGTCTTTGACCCACTCCCTGTTCTCTTGTACACTGGACAGGCCATAGCACTTCCCCAGCAGTGCTGGGGCCGGTCGGTGTCTCGGGGGTCGGACTCACCCCTGCAGGTGCCAGCTGTCCACAGGGCGGGCTTTCTGCCCTCTCGTAAGTGCAGTGTCCCTCCCTCTAAGTTATCGTCGGGTAAACCTCCCAGAAAGTTTGAGTCCCCCCCACCGTCTGTTTTTGGGCAAAGCGACACATGTTTTAGGGTGACCTGTGAACTGGGTGGCAGTGCCTTTGCTCTGTGCTGGCTGGCTGCTCAGCTGATCACGGGAGTGCACCGGGAGTCCAGGTGGCCAGGGCCCCGGCACTGGAAAGCCCCAGATATTCCCGTCACTTCAGGCTTCCCTGTCTTCTGACTGGTAGTGTGACCTAACTCCACGCTCTCCAGGGTCAGCACAGCCGTCACCCCGGCGGCCTTTCCAGGCCTGAGAAGGCCCAGGTTGGGTTCAGTGCTGACTGGACTCAGGGTGGGCGCCTCTTCCTCAGTCCAGACCTGAGGGTGAACACCCACGGACACCTTTGCAGCTGCTTGTGTCTTCATGACGTCACTCACTCATCCCTGCCAACCCGGGTCGGCCTGTATCCAACCAGTTCTGTCTCGTTTGCCTGCCGAGACGACCACGTGGGATCTGTTCAGTCTGTGGAAACATCTCAAACACGACAGCAAAGCCTCACGCATGTATTTAACAAAATACTTTATTACCTTAAAATAATATCCTTCACATAAAGCTAAAGTGCAAATGCTCTCACTCCGTGGTACAAAGCAAACCCTTCATGACTTCTGTGGTCTGCTTATAAAACCAGGACAAAAGGATGTAGCAAAGGTTTAGGAAAAATCCGCGGCAGGATAAAAATAGCAAACTTCTTATAAAGGCTTGGATGTCACCTGCAGACGTTTCCTGCATCTTCCCACTTCCCCTTCCAGAAGAGCCTGTGGAGCAGGCAGACCTCAGAACAGCAGCCTCACTGCTCTCAGAGCTGCCTCCTGGCTGCCGTCGAGGTGGCACTCCGTACAGCGCCCAGCACGCACGCTGACAGCCCTCGGCGGCGCCGCTGTGCCGCTGGGACCCGAGCCCGTGACCCTGACTGGCAGCAGTCCTGTGTGGGAAGCAGGCATTGTACTTCCTGAGGACTTGGGAACTTGGCTATATTGCGTTGTATCATTTTACAAATTGCTAGGAAAATTCTGCGACTCTGAGGCCATGTCTGGCCTCCCAGAGGAAAGCACACTGGGCTGTGGGCCCAGGTCAGGGTAGTGCTACGTGGCAGAGGGCATGCGTGCTGCCTGCAAGGTGCGTGCGGGGGTCAGTGAGGCTGGTGCTGAGGTTCCTGCCCAGTGTGCCATCTGTTCTCTGACATGTGTTCCGGGACGTGTGCACAGCCCTGGGGCCGTGAACCAGAGAACCTTCAGAGAGAAACACCTGGTCTGAGCACCCGCAAATGAAGTGCAGGAGACACGTGACAACAAAGTGGACCAGGCTGGCCTCCCTCACCCAAATAATCTCAAGGGAAAAGGACAGCCTCTGGTGCTCAACTTGGCGAACTCAATAGTGCTCAGGGCCTGCCTGGGGACAAGCAAGAAAAGTCAGCATTCCTTTCTCCGAAAGTTGCTCTACCGGTAATCCCCATGCTAACCTCTCGGTGAGAGCTCTCACTCCTTCCTCACCTGGGACCAGGTGCTCCGCCAGGAGTGCTCCCTTCAGGAAGGCTGGAAGAGTCATCCCTGGTTCCTCTCCTCCGCCTTAGTGCAAATTCTGCTCCAGAACCCGGGTTCTGGTCACACAGGAGCATGGCCGCCCCTGGAGCATGCTGGGAAAACCAGCAGACCAGTGGCTACCACCACCAGACGTGGCAGGCGCCACACAGCAGTTAACAGAAAATAAATAACTACTGAATTATAAATTATCTTGAAGACAAGGCTTAATAATTTAGGTTTCCATTTTAACTAAAAAACGTTTGGAGGTAAAGCATGTTTAGGGTCTCCTGTTGCTTTGGGAGGTGTGGAGGTTTCTAGAAATGGTGGCGCTCCTTGGCACTGAGGGTCAGGGCTTCACGGGAAGCGTCTCCTTGCTGGGCGTGGCTTCTGGCAGTGCCACCGCGTACTCGGTCGTGGCGAACAGCAGTGTGTCCAGCATGGTCTCGGTGCACTGGGCGATGAAGCGGATGAAGGGCCTCACGTCGCCCTCGTTGGCGACCTCCAGCACGTGGTAGTACTCTGACCTCTGCTCCTTGCGGATGGTGACGGGCGGGTAGCCGGCCTGCATCAGGATGAGGTTCATGAGCAGGCGCGAGGTCCTCCCGTTGCCGTCGATGAAGGGGTGGATGTGAACCAGCTTGTAGTGGGCCAGCGCTGCGAACTCCACCGGGTGCAGCTGCGTGGCGTCCTCGGAGTTGAGCCACTGGATGAACTCCTCCATCTGCTTCTCCACCTCCTGGGGGTGGGGAGGGATGTGGTGGCCCACCAGCACCTGCGTCGTCCGAAACCTGCCGGCTTCCACGGGGTCCACGTAGCCCAGCACCCGCCGGTGGATCTCCTGCACGTCGCCGATGGTGACGGAGCCGATGCGTGACACCAGCGTCGTGTTGATGTACTTCATGGCTGTGTGCACGCCGATGACCTCGTTCTGCTCCTCCAGGCTCTTGCCCGGCACGGCGTAGCGCGTCTCCAGGATGTGCCGGATCTCCGCGAGGCTGAGGGTGTTGCCCTCGATGGCCACCGTGTGGTAGATGTGGTGGTAGTACGTCTCCTCCATGACCCTGCGCAGGGCCGAGCTCCCCTTGGGGATGGCCATGACCTTCTTCACCTTGCTGTCGATGGTGCTGAAGTAGCGCTGGTCGATCTCGTCCACCAGCGGCAGCGTGCGGCCCCTGCGGACCAGCGCCTTCTCGTGGTGGGGCGCGATGGTGAGCGCGCGCGTGTACAGGTAGTCCGCCCGGATGATGTCCTTGTCTTCCTCGGAGAAGACGCCGAACTCGGTGAGCGCGTCCACGGAGTCCGGGTCCATCTTGAGCGCGTGCAGGAACAGCCTGCGGGCTTTGTCCCGCTTGCCCTGGCGCTTCATCTCCAGCGCCTGGGTCAAGGCCGCTCTGGCTTCCAGCTTACCTGCTAGCACAGAGCCGGAGAGGCGGCGTCAGGGGTGGGGGCGTGGCCGAGGCCTGCACAGGAGGCTCGCCTGAGCTGGTGTCCCAGAGACCCAGGCTGAGCAGCCCAAGTCTCTGACCTGCCGTAGGCAGTCCTCCGTGCGGGTCCCAGCCCCACTCTGTCCCCACAGCCCCACGTGCTGAGATGCTGGTCCTGCCCGCACTTCCCCAGAGCCGCCACCTTCACTCTGGGGCACCACTAGGGCCCTTGTTCCCTGCCCAGGTGTGGAAAGGGCCGGGCACTTCCTCTCCCGTGCCTTCCCCTCTGGCCCAGCTCCCACCGGTGGCCCGTCCTGCTCTGTGACGCCAGTCCCCGCGGGCATCGGCAGCTCCACTCTTGCCAGGCCCCGGGAGTCACCGTCCCTGCACTGACCTGTTTGACCCAGTGGTTTCGCGTTGCCTGCCAGGGGACATGTGCCGTTCTCTATCTGGACACATGTCTGGTCCCACGCCCCCTAGGGCATGGCAGCCCCCACAGCCGATGACTCCGGGGAAGGTGGAGGGTCCCAGCCCCGCCTCAGCACCCAGCTTCCTTGAGCATCACCAGGCTCTAACGCCGCTTCTTCCCCTCATGCCCTCTTCCTTACAATTGGGTTTTAGCTCAGGCATCTCCTCCTCCAGGGAGCCTTCCTGGTGTTTCCCCCACAGCCCTCTGTGCCTCTCCAGTGTGGCCTATCCTGACCCCATCTCAGGTTCCAGGCAGGGGGCAGGAGGCGGGGGCTCAGGGCCAGTTCACCACAATGTCCCAGTGCCCGGCACTCAGGACTTAGTAGGCCCTCTGGAGATTGTAAAGCCGTGGGGAGAGACGGCCCAGCTGTCTTACCTGGGGAGGGCTTGGTCTTGACCACCAGCAGCCCGGCGTCCCTGGAGGTGACACTGAGCTCGGTGGACCGGCTGGTGCGCTTGGTGACGGCCTGCTGCGCCCTGTCCAGTCTGCTCCTGAGCAGGTAGAAGCCCTTGAGCACGGCCAGGCACTGCTCTTCCATGGCGCCCAGCGGCAGCAGCAGCGCCAGCAGGGACCCCAGCACCGTGCTGAGCAGCACCAGCCACAGGAAGCGGCTCCAGACCGAGACCCATCTCGGCTCTGTCGCCGCCATCACCGACGCCACTGGCACGAGCGTCATCTGGACTCCGGGAAGGGCCCCCCGCACATGTCCACAGCGGAGACGGCAGGATCTGCAAGGACGAGGCGGGGAAACGGGACACGTTCAGCCTGGCGTGACTCCAGTGGGCAGGGGATGGCTGTGCTGGTGCTGTCCCGCGGGCACTGAACACCTGTCAGGCGGCACGCCTGTGCTAAGCACCTGACCCCTCACCTAGCTCCCCCAGGCTTCATCAGCAACTGTTCCTGTCCCCACTCCACCCAGCACACCCACAGGAGGGGACAGCCTTAGGAGTGTCCCCCTCATCACCAACTCCATGGCCTCTGGACACCCACGGCATGGGAGGGCATGTGCCCCGCCCCCCAAAGACTCCCCAGCCATCCTGAGGCCCGTTCTTTGGTCAGCACAATTGAGGTGCTGGCCTCACTTCCTGCCACCTGGGTGCTGCCTCTTCCTGTTCTCGCCCTGATACCTAGGCACAAGGCTGCCGGCCCGGCCTGCCTTCCCTGGCTCCTCCAGCAGGGCTGTGAGCGGTCAGCCAGCTGAGTGTGTGTGTCTGGGGCTGGTGGTGGGGGTGCAGGGCCCAGGGATGCAAGCATCTAACAATAGCATCTATTGGGCAACTGTGGTGTGCCCGGCTCTGAGCTAGGGGCTCACTGTGTCCTCGTGCCGCCCTGCGGAGCGACTGCAGACCCAGGGAGCCCAGGGCTCCAGAGGCCCTCAGGGGGAAACAGAGGCACGGGACCGAGAGTCCGCAGACCCCATGTCTTAACCCCGGTCTTCACCTCCACCTCGCCACGGGGCAGCGCCCGGGCACCTGTTCCGGCCCCGAAATGCCTGCCCGACCACGGGGCTCCGCCTCTCGGGGGGACCCCGCCGCTCTTACGGAGCGCAGTGGCCGTTCTGGGCGGGCTTCCCGCGGCCCAGGCTCCTCCACCGACGGCAGAGGCAACGAAGGAATTCGCTGCCGAGTCTCCCATGGCTACCGGGCTACCAAGTGGGAAACCGAGGCCCGGAAAGTGAGGTCCAGCTGCGGGGCCGCCCCTTTGCGAACCCCTCCCAGGGCTCGCGGCTCTGCCGTCCCCTCCCTGGCTCGCTCCTCCCGGGCCCCTCAGGTTCTCCCCGTCCTCACCGCTCGCGGCTGCAAGGCCTCCCCGCCACTGCCTGACCAGCGCTCATTAGAGTGCTGGGCCGTCAGCTCCCGGGACCTCCTTCAACGCCGGTCTTCTGGCCCCGCCCCCGGAGACTCTCCATTGGACAGCTCCCCACCCTAGTCGCGGACGATTGGCTTTCCCCACTTGTCCGTCCCTCTTATTTCCGGGTTTCCGCGTCTGCTTCTGCTTCCCCGGGAAAGACGCGCCGTGGGCCACCCCCATTGGCTGTCTGTGGTGTTGGTCTCGTGCCGGCGGCAGCCAATGAGCAACGTAAAGGGCGGGGCCTAGGCCACCGGCGGGAGAAACGCGCGAGGGACAGGGGCGCCGAGGCCGATGTGGTGCCCAGAAGCTCGCGTTCCCCGCCTGCCCGGGTCTCGTGTGCCTCGTTCCCCGGTGCGGTTCGTCCGCTTCCTCGAGCCGGGGGGACGCTGTCCTCCGTTTGCATCGTCAGACGCTGGAGGCGGGCGTCTGGGGGCAGCCGGCCAGCGACGGCCAGCGCCCCGGCGGCAGCCAGAGACCACGCAGCTCCAGCCCGGACCCTGCCTCCGTCCCCCGGCCTGTCAGATGGGGGACGGGCAGCCCCGCCTCGCTGTGCTCCCCAAGTCTGGGGTTCGGACTTCAGCCGCCGGCCTCCCCGACACGCACTGCCCGTGCGGACAGCGCCAGGCAGTGAGGACGGCCCAGGGCCGCTGTGGGGTACCTGGGTGCCTGGCTCCGGCAGATGCGCAACCCTGGAAGGCAGCAGGTGATGGCGCGAGAACACGGGCACCCACGCGGGGGACCTGGGTGGAGTTGCTGGCTCCCGGCCTGGGCCTGGCCCTCCCGTGGCCGTATGAGCTGGGGGCGAACCAGCAGATGGGAGCTCTCTGTCGCTCGCTCTCAAATAAGTAAGCAGAATCCAATAATAGATGATGCGAGCCCGCCGTGCTGTCACCTTTGGTCGTCTACGAGCTGGGGACGATGTGATGATGGCAGGCCCTGGGCACGGGGTGTGGAGGCAGGGTGAAGTCTGGCCCAGAGCAATGCTGGAGAAGCTCCCAGCCGCCGCAGGTGTTTCTAGAAAAGGCGCCAACTCATGGCTGCGTTGTCGTCCGCAGCAGAGACCTGCAGTGCCTGGGGCTGTGTCCGCCCGGAGGGAGAGACCTCACTGCACCTTGCACAGGTCTCCTTGTGACTCCTGCGGAGGGAGGCTGCCGGCAGCGCGAGACCCAGGGCAGAGGTGAGACAGCACCAGAGGCCCGCTGTCGCGCAGGACGCCAGGGGACGCTGCCCAGTGAGGGACCTGTCAGCCTGGCCGATGCCTGCGGGTCTCCCAGCTTGTATCCTGCGGCTCACTCCTCTCTCCCTCCACATCTAGCCTCGGTGTGGAGTGTGGTGTTGAGCTTGAGTTGAATACGAAACACATGAAGCAGGGCAAAGCCAGAGAATTATGTTTTTGTTTTAAAAGATTTATTTTATTTATTTGAAAGGCAGAGTTAGAGAGGAAGGGAGATCGGCCATCTGCTGGGCCAGGCTAAAGCCAGGAGCCAGGACCTCCATCCGGGTCTCCCATGTGGGTGCAGGGGCGCAAGGACTTGGGCCATCCTCTGCTGTTCTCCCAGGTGCCTTGGCAGAGAGCTGGATGGGAAATGGAGCAGCCGGGACTCGAACTGGCGCCCATGTGGGATGTGCCACATGGCCCGTCCCAGTCATAGGGTTTCAAAGGAAGAAGATTGAGATGGTGGTTATTTCAGTGGCTTCTTGTTTTTAATCTTTTGAACAAAGGGTCTTGGACATTGTTCTCTTGAAGACGCATGTTCATGTAAACGGAACTACAAGGGGGCCGGCACTGTGGCACAGCGGGTTAAGCCGCCACTTGCAACGCCAGCATCCCATGTCTGAGTGCTGGTTTGAGTCCCTGCTGCTCTGCTTCTGATCCAGCTCCCTGCTAATGCACCTGGGATAGGAGAAGATGGTCCAACTGCCTGGGCCCCTGTCACCCACCTGGGAGACCCGGATGGAGTTCCAAGCTCCTTGCTTTGGTCTGTTCCAGTCCAGGTGTTGCGACCATGTGGGTGGAAGATCTCTCTCTGTCTCCCTCCCCCTGTCTGTCCCTCTCTCTGTCATTCTGCTTCCAACTAACCAACTACATCTTTCTAAACAATCGAATTATAAGTTTATTTTGGTGCGAACATTTCTTGAAATCCATGCATAGTTTTCCACACTTCCTGTGAACTTTGTGAAGACTCTCATACGTATGATTTTCATATTTTTTTGGCCACAAAATAAACTTACCTTTTAATTCCATTTCCCGTGAACTCTTTGAGGTGCCCTCATATCATTGTGAATCTTACCCCAGAGGTGAGGCTGGTGCGCAACCAGCAGGACACAGGGGTTTAGTAGAGAATAGTGGGGCTGTGGGGTCAGGCAGATGTGTTCAGGGGCAAAGCCCAGCATCCACGACCTCTATCTTTAGGGCACGTCTCCTGGCCTGGGACCCTGGGGCCTGCAAACCTCTGTCCTTCCAGGCTGAGCATGGCACCTCCTGCTTTTCATGATGTTTGTATGACGGGTGGGGGTGGGGGAGGAACTCACATTGCTAGTTCATGCCCCCAAACTCCTACAACAACCAGGGCTGGGCCCAGCAGCTCAGTCCAGGTCTCCCCACAGGTCTCAGCCCAGGAACCGGTCACTGCTGCCTCCCAGGGTCTGCATTAGCAGGAAACTGGAGTCAGGTGGGACTTGAACCCACGTCCTTGAATGCGGATGCAGGCATCCTAGTCCCCAGTTTGCTCTTTATGTCAAACACCTGCCCCAGATCACCTGCCTTTACAGGCACCCTCCTCACCACTCCTTCTTGGGTGCTGGCATAAACTCTAATGAGCTTATTAGGCCATGGCTAGCAAACCAGCAAGCTACACAGGAACTGCTGGTGGGTGAAACTGCCTGAGGGTGAGGCACTAGGGCGAGGTGGGGAGCATGGCAGATTGGAGAACTCATGCCTTGTCCAAAGTGGACGGTGGCTCCTCAGCTCTTGCCCACGTTTATCATGCTGGGATGTGGTCCAAGAGTTAACAGATCCTCCTGTTTCTCAAAAGAAAGGTCAGAGCTAGATTTTTAAAGCAAAAGGTGCAGCTTTTTAAACGGTTGGAACGTCCGCCTGCTGGCTACAGGGGAAAGGGACCCAGAACCCAGGAACAAACACGGCCATGGGCTCTCAGCCACTGAGCCATACTGCTTGTGGACACCAGGGGGCAGCAGTTCGCCCTGCATGACTCAAATTCACAATTCTCGATTTGGTCTGCACTCAGGGGCGTTGAATGCACAAAACATGGTCCCTGAAGTGATATTGAAAAATTGGCTTTCTCCACCTGAAGCATTCTGTATTAGGTGGAAATGGCCTCCCTGTGGCCCGTGGAGGACTTTTCTGAATGCTAACCTTGACACATGACGAGAACCTGGCAGGCAGCCGTGTGGGAAATGTGTCCATTACCAAAAACAAAACAACACGAGCTTCCGGCATCTTTAAGAGGCAGCAGACAGGGCGGGGCCGGCGCCGTGGCTCACTTGGCTAATCCTCCGCCTGCAGCGCACGGTTCTAGTCCCGGTTGCTCCTCTTCCAGTCCAGCTCTCTGCTGTGGCCCGGGAGGGCAGTGGAGGATGGCCCAAGTGCTTGGGCCCTGCACCCGCATGGGAGACCGGGAGGAAGCACCTGGCTCCTGGCTTTGGATGGGCACAGCGCTGGCAGTAGCGGCCATTTGGGGTGGGGGGTGTGAACCAATGGAAGGAAGACCTTTCTCTCTCACTGTCTATAACTTTACCTGTCAAAATAAGAATAAAATAAATTTTTAAAAAAGAGGCAGCAGGCAAGGGCTCCTTGCGAGCAGAGTCGGATCCTATTGCTTAGGAGAACTGAACTGTGCGCTTGAGGCTGCATGGGGCCAGCTGCACTTGGCTGGATGTCTCGGCTTTGTTCAGAGGCAAATCCACAGCCTTGTTCTCTGCCCTCCCCCCCAGCTTCCTCCCACCGCCCCGGCGCCGGCTTGGCTGTTCTTTCTCCTCCCGGTGTCATGCCCCTGGCTGCCTCCCCCACTGACTACTGGTTAATCTTCCTTGTTAGACACACCTAGTGGGCTCAGACCCAGTTACTGAGGGGTCCCCAAGAAACAGGGTTTTGGGGAGCCAGCTTAGAGACGCTGGCTGATGGCTTGAGCTGTGGCCTTGGGATGTTTCCCATGTTGTCATTTCTGCCAATTAAAGAGACAAGCAGACCGAGGGCACTCCCATCTGCTGGTTCACTCCCCAGATGCCCACGATGCCCAGGGCTAGGTCAGGTTGAAGTCGGGAGCCAGCAGCTCAATCCAGGCTCCCAAGTGGCTGGCAGGAGCTCAATTACTTGAACCATCACCACCGCCTCTTGGGGTTTGCGGAGCAGGAAGCTGGAGTGAGAAGCCAGAGCCAGGTGCAGGGCCCAGGGACCCCAAAGCCGGCTGTGATGTCTTACCCTGCATCCTGACTGCTGGGCTCAGTGCCCGCCCCTTCTGGACGCAGACAGGAAGGGATGTGTAGCCTTCCGAGCACATCGCTTGGGGAAGGGGGCCTCTGTTTCCTCAAAACCAAGATGGGTTCATTACAGACACAAGAGAAGGTACAGATAAGCAGTGAGAATAAAAAAAACTCATCTGCAATTTTAGATCTTTTCCTGCGCACATCTATTTTAAAATGATGAAATATTTCAGACATTTAAAAGACACGGCTACTGCAAAGGGCGTCCGTGTGCCTGCCTCCCAGTTTAAGAAACACCGCAGTACTGATGTACTGAAGCCCCCAGACCCCACTGGCATGCCGCTCTCTCCCCCAGAGGGAAGCACGGGCTTGGATTTGATGCCCCCACAGGGCCGTTTTTGATGTGTGTGTACATATCCCTACATAGCGTGTAGCCGTCTTCAGTGACCGTTCTCTACGAATCCTCTGCACTCCAGGGTAGAGATTTACATTGTTGGTCGATACCTGTAGTTCTGGTTCATTTTACATGGCTGTGTAGTATTCCACTGCCAGTTTATTTCCCACTTACCTGTTGATGGGCGTTTGGATTGTGGCCGATCCTTCCCTGTTACCAACAGTTGTGC